ACTGCCCCCCCCACCACCAGCACCACTCCCACCACTGCCGCCACCGCCGCCGCCCCCTCCACCCCCTCCACCACCACCTCTCCCGCCGTCGCCTCCTCCACCCCGGCCCCCCTTGCCCCTGCCGCCCTTGCGCCTCCCACTGGGAGCGAACGCAGCTCCGACCCCCTCAGCACCTAGGTAGTCGACAGCAGCAGCAGATGCAATGGAGGGGAGAAGGGGGGAGGGGGAACATCCCTCAAAGAAGGGTCGCCACGAGAGGCACCTACAGCTACAATGCTCTTCTCAGCTGCTAGGAGTTCTTTCTCGAGCAGGTCGACAGTGAGGTCTGTGGGGGAGAGAGCAAGAAAGTGGTCCCTGACAGCGCGAAGAGAGTCAGGGAGGCGAGTGATCAGGTGGTAGAGGGTGAGGTACATCGGGGGGGGGTTCTTGGCTAGGAAATCGGGGGGGAGTGCGGCACGGTAGCGGAGATCACTAGTACGGAGGTGAGTGATGAGGTCAGCTACAGTGGCAAAGGCAGACACATCGGGGAAGAGATAGGGCAATGAGAGACGGCCTATCGCAGCAGTGGCAGGGGAGGAGTAGCGTGCAACTACAGCGTCGTACAGCTCCTTAGCGGTCTTATGCTGGCCAAAGTGCTCGCGCTCATCTAGCGGTAGGTGGCTGCGAACGGCTAGGCGAGCATGAGCGTCACGGGTCTGCCACTGTGATCGAGCAGTGCTGTCAGCAGTAGCAGCAGGCGCGGGAGCGGCGCCGGACGTGTGGTCAAAAAGGGAAACATCGTCCTTGGCAGTGATCTGGAGGAACAGGTGCAGGTCATCGAGCCAAACGTCAAACTTAATCGGACGGCCCTCAGAGTCAAACGTGAGAACGGTAGGACTAGCCATAGTGGCAGTAGCAGTAGCAGTAGTAGCAGTAGCAGCAGTAGAAGTAGCAGAAGTAACAGAAGCAGTAGTAGCAGAAGGAGGGGCAGTAAGAGCAGTTGCTGCAGGTAGGGCGGCGCGGCTCGGTCAGGGCGGCGCGACTCGGGCAGCGCGACTCGGGCGGCGCGGCTCGGGCGGCGCGGCTCGGGTAGGTAAGGCGGTGCGCGGCGGCGCCTAGGGTGCGGCTGCGCGCGGGCCGTGGCTGCGTTCATGCGGCGGCTAAGCGCTAGCAGCAGCAGCCGACGCGCGATCGCCGCTGCGCGCTGGCTGCGTCCTGCGGGCGGGCGGCTGAGGGTCGCGCGTCGGCCTAGGGGCGAGCGGGGCCTACGGGCGACGGCCTGCTGGGGCTCGCGAGAAAAAATCGAGCCGCCCTAGGTGGCGAAGTTCCTACGTGCGCTAAAACGGCGGGGCCGCGCTCGGGCTGCTAGCGGGCTGCAAACGGGCAGCGTGAGAGGAGAGCGCACGAGGGGGCACTAGGAGAGAGGCGCACGAGGGCGCTAAAAAAAAGGGCGCACGAGGGCACCTCTAGCGGAACGGTGGGCCCTTAGGTCTATAACCTAAGCTCTTAATACCATGTCAGAAACAAGAAGTGGTCAACTAGAAACAGTTGGGAGTACAAGTATGAAACCCTAGAGAAATGTACCCCCTAAAGGCTAACCCACTGTAGCCTACACAGCAGAAACATATATATAATGTTTGACACGAGAGTGGGAAACCTTCGGGAATGTTTATAATAACCTTTCGGTTATTCCAACAGTTTACTGTGGCGGGAGCAGTCGTGTATGCGGTAAGCAGGGGCGCCAAGTAAGGAAAATTATTTTTTCCTGCATAAGGACAATAATGCAAGCTTCCGGATTTGACATGATTTTCTAGGTTTAAGATTACACTATAGAGCGCAAGCAAACATCAACAGTCGTAACTGAGATTTGACCTGATGGTTGTATTCGGTTCGGAGTAGTTTAGAAGCGAATCAGCCAGACATTCCAAGTTGGACTCCGCAATTCATGCGTACCCTCATTGGGCAACCAAGCACCAACGAAGCGGGTTTTCGGGCATTCGCGGACATTCGAAGCTAGGAGAGGGAAGGGGGATAGGAAAAGGCGGAAACTTGGGGGCGGGAGGCGGAAAGTTGGAAGAGGACGACGGGGAAGACAGGAGGATGAAGGCGGAAGGATGGAGGTGGAAGCGGAACGAGGGTTTCAAACTTCCTGGCCTGCCTAAGAAAATCAAGATTTGCCTTTCTTTCGTTGGCCTTGGGAATTGTGTAACGCGAGGTTGATTTTGAATTTTGAGATGAGCTTTGCCGAGGCAATTACAGATGCCTTCTTCATTCATTGCTTAAATGCAGGCACCGTGATCATCCACCTGACGCGCGCAGGCATGCGTTCTCCACCTCAATGCTGCTGAAATGCTGAGCGTGGACGGGAGGGCTGCTGCCGCTCTGCTTGGTATGTTTCCGTTTCGCCCAGCTCAGGAAAATGGAGCCCTTCCGCTTGTGGAACAAGATCACGGAGAGTGAGGTCATTCCGAAGGTATAAGCCGGTTCGGGGCGGTTCAGCCGAGAGTAGAGGTGGATCGAGCGTTGCCGTCGCCGTCGCACGAGCGTCAGCGGCGGAAGGCTCATCTTCACCCTCAACGCCAACAGTCGCAGCCGCCTGTCTCGCAGCAAGGCTCGTCGGGGCTGTCAGTTCAGAACGGGCATTTACGAGCCGAACCGCAAATGTCTCCCTCCCAACCACACGCCCCTCAGCAAGCATCCGCTTTACGATCCGACCCTGTAGTGGCCCAGCTAACCCCTGTGGCCTCACCGCTCGTGTCGCAGCAGTTAGTATCGGGAGCGGATCTAGCGCGTCGGCAGCAGCTGGCGCTGCTATCGCATCACCTATTGGCGTCAGGGCTGGCCAACGGTCATTTGGCTGTCAACCACGCTTGGCCGTGTCACCCTCGTTCAGCGACTCAAGCGTCTCAGACGACTCACACGGCCCAGATTACGCTCACAAATCAAACGACTGACGCGTCTCAGATGATTCACGCGACTCAGTCGATTCACGCGACTCAGACGGCTCAGGCAGGCGTCACAAGGACGGATGACAGCAATCGATTAGATCCCTGCGGGCCCTCGGGGCTGAAGCCCTCGCTTGTGGCGAATGCGATTCCTTCGGCCGCGAGGCAGGGGGTAGGGTTGGCAGCGGAGGGGCCGTTGCTGGATGGGAAAACCGCTCTTTTTCTTCCCTCCGGCCGTCAGTCGCCTTCCCCTCTACTGCTCCCGCCATCCCCCATGCTGCGGCAGCAGCAAGCAATTCAACCGCTGCCCGCCGCTTAGAACGAGCAGCCACTGGTGCCTCGATCAGCGGCACTTTCTCGTCCATCTGCCGTCGTGTCCGCGCCGTCGCAGCCCTGCGTGCAGAGCGGTGCGGTCGGCGGGAGCGAGCCCACATCGCACGGCGGAGCGCACGCAACGGTTGTGCCCTCTGCACCACCGCATTGGCTCCCGTCGGATCGACAGCTGCTTCAGGCACTTCAGCAGCAGCAGCTAAAGTGGCTGCAGCAGGCACATTAGCCGCAGCTGGTACACGAGCAGCAGGTATACGAGCAGCAGGTGGCACAGCGCCCGCAGCAGCAGCAACAGGAGCCGCCGCAGCAGCCGCAGGAACAGCAGCAGCAGCAGCAGCAGCAGCAGCAGGAGCCGCAGCAACAGCAGCAGCCGCAGCAGCAGCAAACGGAGCAGGAACAGAGACAGGAGGAGCAACAGCAGCAGCAGCAGCAACAACGGCAACAGCAACAGCAACAACAAAAGCAACAGCAACAGCAGGAGCAGGATCCGCAGCAGCAACAAGAACAAAAGAAGGGGCAGGAGCAGCAGCAACAACAACATTTACAACAGCAGGAGCAGGGGCAGGGGCAGGGGCAGGGGTAGGTGCAGGGGCAGTGGCAGCAGGAGAAGTATGATGATGAGGAGGAGCAGCAACAGCAACAGCAACAGCAACAGCAGCAGCGACAGCAACAGCAGCAGCAACAGCAGCAGCAGCAGTGGCAGCAAGGTCAAGGGTTGGGCAGAGGGAAGGGGCGTGGGAAGGGTACGGGCAAGGGCAAGGGCAAGGGCAAGGGCAATCGCAGGTGGCGGTCACCACTGGTCGTTGGGGCGAACGGTTCCCCCGCGCCAGACAAGGCGGGCCGCCCGTCCGCGGGCAAGAAGCGCCGCCACCTTGTGGACGAGCCGCCAGGGCTGTGGCTGGGTGACGAGTGTGACGCTGCCACGTGTGCGTCGGACCGGTCGGGCAGTCCGTGTGGCGTGTGCGCGGCGAGCGTGCTGGTGGTGCAGGGCGACCGCGGGTGGCGCGAGGGAGGGGCGGCCGTGGAGGCGCGGGTGGTGGGCGACGAGGAGGGCGGGGCGAGCGCGCACGTGCTCGCCGTGCTGCTGCGCGGCCACGCGCACTTTTCGTACCGCCCGGAGCAGGCGGGGGCGACGGGCAGCAGCAACCGGGTGACGGGCGCCATCATGTGGCGCCCCCCCGACGCCGACGCGGGCAGCAGCGCCGCCTCGTGGGCGCTGGAGTTTGCGGAGAGGAAGGAGTGGCGAAGGTTCCAGCAGCTGCATGACTCATGCGCCCAGCGCAACAGCCGCACCGTGTCGGCGCGCCGCATCCCCATCCCCGGTGTGCGCCTCGTGCCCTGGCGCTGGCGCCTGCGCGGCTCCTCCGCGTGCGCGGCCAGCAGCAGCGCCAGCAGCGACAGCGTGGCGGGGCCGGTGGAGGGCGCAGAGGCGGGTGAGGGGCGCGAGGCGTTCGCCCCCCCGGCGAGGTACATCCGCGGCGTGGACGAGGCGGAGCGCGTGCGGGTTGGCAGCCGCCACGTGGTGTACGACCTCGACTACGACGACGAGCGCTTCCTCTGCGCGCTCCCGCACACCCTCCGCCGCGCAGGGTTGGAGGGGCAGGCAGGAGGGGAAGGGCAGGCAGGGGGGGAGGGGCAGGGAGGGGGGGAGGGGCAGGGAGGGGGGAATGGGTAGGCAGGGGGGAATGGGCAGGCAGGGGCAGAGACGGCGGGACAAAGGGTTGAGAGTGTCGCATGTGAGGGCAGAGGGGGTGATGGGGAAGTGGAGGGGAGTGCAGTGGCAGTGAGCAAGGGGCAGGTGGAGAGGGTGATGGACCGGCTGGAAAAGGAGTCATTCGCTGCGCGCTCGTTGCTCTCCGAGGCACACGCCCTGCGCTGCTGCGTGCACCTGGCGCCGCCAGATGCCGTGCGCGCCATCTTCTACCACTGGCGCGCCAAGCGCGCCCGCAAGGGCACCGCCCTCTGCCGCCACTTCCAGGTCAGCCCGCTGCCCTCCGCCCACCGCCCTGCAGCACGCAGTCCGCGCCCCTCATGTCTGCCCGCGCCCCTCATGTCTGCCCGCGCCCCTCATGTCTGCCCGCGCCCCTCATGTCTGCCCGCGCCCCTCATGTCTGCCCGCGCCCCTCATGTCTGCCCGCGCCCCTCATGTCTGCCCGCGCCCCTCATGTCTGCCCGCGCCCCTCATGTCTGCCCGCGCCCCTCATGTCTGCCCGCGCCCCTCATGTCTGCCCGCGCCCCTCATGTCTGCCCGCGCCCCTCATGTCTGCCCGCGCCCCTCATGTCTGCCCGCGCCCCTCATGTCTGCCCGCGCCCCTCATGTCTGCCCGCGCCCCTCATGTCTGCCCGCGCCCCTCATGTCTGCCCGCGCCCCTCATGTCTGCCCGCGCCCCTCATGTCTGCCCGCGCCCCTCATGTCTGCCCGCGCCCCTCATGTCTGCCCGCGCCCCTCATGTCTGCCCGCGCCCCTCATGTCTGCCCGCGCCCCTCATGTCTGCCCGCGCCCCTCATGTCTGCCCGCGCCCCTCATGTCTGCCCGCGCCCCTCATGTCTGCCCGCGCCCCTCATGTCTGCCCGCGCCCTCATGTCTGCCCTCGCGCCCCTCATGTCTGCCCGCGCCCCTCATGTCTGCCCGCGCCCCTCATGTCTGCCCGCGCCCTCATGTCTGCCCGCGCCCCTCATGTCTGCCGCGCCCCTCATGTCTGCCCGCGCCCCTCATGTCTGCCCGCGCCCCTCATGTCTGCCCGCGCCCCTCATGTCTGCCCGCGCCCCTCATGTCTGCCCGCGCCCCTCATGTCTGCCCGCGCCCCTCATGTCTGCCCGCGCCCCTCATGTCTGCCCGCGCCCCTCATGTCTGCCCGCGCCCCTCATGTCTGCCCGCGCCCCTCATGTCTGGCCCGCGCCCCTCATGTCTGCCCGCGCCCCTCATGTCTGCCCGCGCCCCTCATGTCTGCCCGCGCCCCTCATGTCTGCCCGCGCCCCTCATGTCTGCCCGCGCCCCTCATGTCTGCCCGCGCCCCTCATGTCTGCCCGCGCCCCTCATGTCTGCCCGCGCCCCTCATGTCTGCCCGCGCCCCTCATGTCTGCCCGCGCCCCTCATGTCTGCCGCGCCCTCATGTCTGCCCGCGCCCCTCATGTCTGCCCGCGCCCCTCATGTCTGCCCGCGCACCCTCATGTCTGCCCGCGCCCCTCATGTCTGCCCGCGCCCCTCATGTCTGCCCGCGCCCCTCATGTCTGCCCGCGCCCCTCATGTCTGCCCGCGCCCCTCATGTCTGCCCGCGCCCCTCATGTCTGCCCGCGCCCCTCATGTCTGCCCGCGCCCCTCATGTCTGCCCGCGCCCCTCATGTCTGCCCGCGCCCCTCATGTCTGCCCGCGCCCCTCATGTCTGCCCGCGCCCCTCATGTCTGCCCGCGCCCCTCATGTCTGCCCGCGCCCCTCATGTCTGCCCGCCGCCCCTCATGTCTGCCCGCGCCCCTCATGTCTGCCCGCGCCCCTCATGTCTGCCCGCGCCCCTCATGTCTGCCCGCGCCCCTCATGTCTGCCCGCGCCCCTCATGTCTGCCCGCGCACCCTCATGTCTGCCCGCGCCCTCATGTCTGCCCGCGCCCCCTCATGTCTGCCCGCGCCCCTCATGTCTGCCCGCGCCCCTCATGTCTGCCCGCAGCCCCTCATGTCTGCCCGCGCCCCTCATGTCTGCCCGCGCCCCTCATGTCTGCCCGCGCCCCTCATGTCTGCCCGCGCCCCTCATGTCTGCCCGCGCCCCTCATGTCTGCCCGCGCCCCTCATGTCTGCCCGCGCCCCTCATGTCTGCCCGCGCCCCTCATGTCTGCCCGCGCCCCTCATTTCTGCCTGCGGCTTGCCCCATGCAGGCTCGTTTCTCTTGCTGCCTATCCGGCTAGTCGGCCAGGAGCCTCTTTTTTTTTCCCCTCTTGCATGCACCCACGAGCTTGCCTTCTCATTCCACTTGTGCCCCTCCCGCCCTGTCCGGCCCCCCTCTTCCTCCCCCGTGTCATGCGACGCCCCGCCGCTGCAGCGCGCGCCGTGGGAGGTGTATTAGGCACGGGTGAACGAGTGGCAGCGGCAACTGCAGCTGCTGCAAGCCCGTGAGGCCACGCCCCTCTCTCCGTCTCCCGCGCCGTGGGCCCCGGGGCAGCCGGGAGGAGGTGCGGAGGCAGCAGCGGAGCAGAGGACGGGCGAGGGAGCGGGGATGGGTGGCGTGGCAAGGCAGGGAGAGAGTGGTGCCGCGCTGCAGAGGGCACCAAACGACCACTCGCAGCAGCAGCAAGAGGAGGGAGGGGAGCAGCAGCAGGAGGGAGGAACGGGGCGTGCGGTAGCAGTGCAGCAGGGTCAGGTGTCAGCTGGTGCAGCAGCCAGGCACGAGCAGCGTGATCCCCACGGCCAGCACCCACCCAGCACGGCAGCACCAGGTGGCGCAGCAGCAGGTTTATCCACTCCTGCGCGCCTTCCAAGAAGCCCGGCCGCCTCCTCCTCTCCTTTCCCCTCACCCATTCCCTTCGGCACCCCCATCACCCCCATCACCCCCGGCCCTGGCAGTGCCGCGCAGCAGCGTATGCCCGCCATCCCCCGCCCGCCTCTCTTTGCCTTCTGCCTGCAGCCGCGCGCCCACGCGCGCAGGGCCGCCTTCCCCTCGCGCCCGCGCTCCACCAAGCGCGCGCCGGCCTCCACGGAGCACTGGGGTGGCGCTGCTGCGGACAGTACGGAAGGCAGCCCCAGGGTAGGGGGCGTGGCGACGCGCGCAGAGGCGCTCCCCGTGGGCGAGACGCAGCAGGGGGGGCGGAGAGAGGGCGTGGAGGGGCTGGTGGCGGCCAAAAGGCAGCGCCGCGTGGTGTGCCTCGCAGGTGAGCCAAACCCTCCCCCTCGCCCTTCCGCTGTGCCGCGCGCCTTCTCTCCACTCAATGCACTGCCTCAATTCCCCGCACCTCCCTCCTGCCAAACCCTTGCTCGCTCGGCTGTGCCCCCCACTGCAGACCTGGGAGGCGAGGAGGCGGAGGGCAGCAGCAAGGGCGGCTCAGCAGGCGGGGCAGCAGGGGGAGCAGCAGAGTCTTTCCCTGGCGCAGGCCATGAGGGGGTGAGTGCCCCGCATGGGGACCTATCTCTCGCGCACCCCTCGTCTGCGCGCCCCTCGCCCACAGCGTGGCCTCGCCTCACCACCACCTCGTCGCGGTCGCCCGTCCCCTTTGCCTTTCGCCTGAGCCCGCGCCTCAACACTTCGGAGCCCGCACACCTGGATGCCACTCCACAGGCACTGCCGCCGGCGCAGCAGCAGGTGTACGGGGGGGCGGAGGGGGGGATGAGGCAGTTGCTGAGGCAACAGCAGGCGAGGCATGCGAGGGGGCGGGCAGCGCGGGGGTGAGCGGGGCAGGCGGGGACGAAGCAGCAGCGCCCACGCCACCACACGGCGCTGCTGCAGGGCGCCTTGCTCTGCCCGCTGCCTCCGCACCGCAGCACCAACCGCCCGGCGCTCCCGTGGTGGTTGCGGTGCTGCGTGGTGCCCCCGCTATTGCTCGCGCCCAGAGCGGCCCTCCTTCACACGCAGCTGTGGGGGATACAGGGGCCGGACAGCCGTGGGAGCATGCGAGAGGCGGCAGCGGCGGCGGTGAGGATGAGGCGCAGCAGCAGAAGAGAGGAGCGGCGGGCGTGCGGTCAGAGTTGCTGTCGCTGGCGCACGCGCGCCCACCAGGCAGTGCAACCGCACAGGCACGTGCGGCTGCGGCGGCGGCGCTCGGGGAGGGGATGGGTGCAGCGCCGAGAGATGTGGGCGCAGGGCAGTGGGCGCATTGCACGGCGGAGGGGAGGCCGCTGGCGCTGAGTGTGGGAGGTAGAGCGCAGGGGATTGCAGGCGCAGGGGGAAGGGGAAGGCGCAGGGCGCGGGCAGTGTTGGTGCTGCAGCAGACACAGCAGCACGTGGGGTGGGCACGGCAGGTGGAGGAGGGGGCAGGCGAGGCAGGTGGCACACAAGGTCGCGGAGACAGCTCTTTGAGTGGCGCAGAGGTGCACGCAGTGGGTCACGAGGCACAGGCGCTCGCAGGCAGCAGCAGGGGGGGGAGGCGGGTGGTGGGTCACAGGTTGCCTCGGATGAGCAGACTAGCGGCGCCTGCGATGCGTGGCGGCGTGGCAGCAGGTGGTGGGCGCGAGGCGGGTGCAATGGGCGCACAGGAGCAGCTGGGATATGCTGGGACGGGTGCTGAAGATGAAGAGTGGGGCAGCGAGGTTGGGAGAGAGGCGGGAGCAGAGAGGGGCGGCGCTGCTGTGATGAGTGGAGAAGCGGAAGATGGGGCGGGTGGAGGGGCGGGCAAGGGCACGGTGGTGTACCACCGCAAGCGACAGCGGTCATGGCGAACAGCAGGCGGTGGGGGGCACGCGGACAGCGCTGCTGCCTGGCGCCCTGGCAGGCCCAGAATGGCCGGTCTGTCCCCTGCCCGCCTGCTCCTGCCCGTGCCCCTCACAGCCTCGCCGCTCATCCCTGAGCCCCACTTGCCCTCGCCTCGTCCCGCTCGCCCTCCAGCCGTGCGCCCGTCTGCAGCACAGGACCCAGCATGTGCATCCTCAAATAGAGAGGCGCAGCGGCAAGGGGAGGAGGAGCAAGGGGTGGAGGAGCAAGGGGTGGAGGCGGCGAGGGCGAGGGCGAGGAGTGCAAGGGCGAGGGCAGGTGCAGCGAGGGCGAGGGTGAGCGAGCTGCAGCACGCGGGTGATGCGGCGCTGGAGCGCGCCTGCCACCGCCTCGCTCTCCTCCGTGCTGCTCAAGCCGTGCCCACTGCCATGCCCTCTCCCATGCCCCCTGCCATGCCCCCTGCCATGGCTGCCATGCTCCCTGTTCCTCCCCACCACCTTGTTGATGCCGCTCGTCCACCAGCCACTCTGCCAGCCGTCACTGCAGTCCATGCATGTGCCCCACCCCCCCTAGCACCTCCTCCTGCTGCTCCTCTTGCGGCTGCGTCCGGTGCTGCTCCTGCTCCTGCTGCTGCTGCTGCTTCTGCTTCTGCTGCTGCTGCTGCCGCTGCAACTGCTTCTGATGCTGTTGTTGCTGCTGCTCCTGATGCTGATGCCGTTCGAGCTGCCTCTCCTGCTGCCTCTCCTGCTGCTGCTGTTTCTCCGCGTGCTGACAGTGCAGCTCCGGGTGAATGCCTGGACGGGCATCATTGCCGTGGGGAAGGTAAAGCGTGTGGGGAGGGTGAAGCGGGTGGGGAGGGTGAAGAGGGTGGGGAGGGTGAAGAGGGTGGGGAGGGTGAAAAGGGTGGGGAGGATGGCGAGGGTGGGGTGAGGGGCAGTGGGGCAGGTGCTGGGGAGGGGAGTGCAGGGTTGGTGGATGGAGGGCGGCAGCATGGCAGCGAGGGTGATGCAGTGCGGAATTGTGGCAATGGGCAGGGTTGTGCTGGGGCGGGGTGTGCGGGAGGGCATGCAGCAGCTTGTGTGAGAGGCGATGGTTGCAACGAGTCAGGTTGGCCTGCCTCCCTGCCGCCTCCTCCATGTGCCGCTCATCCTGCTCCCGCTGCCCCTCCTGCCCACCCGCCTCCCATGCTGCTGCCTGTGCCTCCAACCGCCCAACATCCACAGCAGGCAAGCCCCCCTCTCCCTCCTCCCACATCTCCTCCTAGTCCTCCCCCTCACCACAGCAGCAGCAGCAGCAGCAGCGGGCGGGCAGCAGCCCAGTGGCGCTGAGGCCGTCGTTCCCGTCGCCCTCGTCGGTGGCCAAGAGAGCAGCCGTTACGTACCGTCGTGCTGACGTCACTCTGCGCCGCGCTGATGTCACGCTGGGCGAGGAGGGGTGCGGCGTCAGCCTGCTGCCCTCGCCACACTTCCCCCTGCGGGCTGCCTCCGTCACACACAAGCCTGCTGACATCACTCTCCCGCATGCTGAGGTCACCATCTCAGAGCCCCTGAGTGGCAACGACGACAGCCCTCGCCCTGGCAGCCCAGCGCCCCCCGTGCCGTCCACACTTGACTCCCTCCAACCCCCCCGCGCTGCACTCGCCCCCATCCCTGCTCCACCGTGTCAAACATTGTATATGTTACTGTTCTGTAGGCTACAGTGGGTTTAGCCTTAGGGGGTACAACATTCTAGGGTTTTCCTACTTGTACTCCCAATCTTGCTAGTACAATCACTTCTCTCATTTTGACATGGTATTACGAGCCTAGGTTAGGAACCTAGGACCGTTCCTAAGGGCCCACCGTTTCCGCTCAAAGCGCCCTCGTGCGCCGTCCCTTCCTAGCGCCCTCGTGCGCCTCGCTCCTAGTGCGCCCTCGTGCGCCCCCGTTTTCTCTTAAGCTGCCCGTGCGCAGCCGCTAGAAGCCCGCGCGCGCGGCCCGTTCTTAGGTCGCGTAGCCCGCTAGCCGCCCGCGCGCGGCCTGTTTCTTGAGTGCGCGGCCCGCTAGCCGCTCGTGCCGTCGTCCCCGCCCACGCGCAGCCCGCTCTGGCCTCGCGCGGCTCTTAGCGCGGCCCGTTAGCCGCTCGTCGACCGCCACGCGCCGCCGCCGCGTCCCCTTAGGCCGCCGCTCGTGCTAGCCCGCCGCCCGCACGATCGCCGCCGCCCGCACGAACGCAGCAGCGGCCCGCACGCAGCTGCACCCTAGGCGCCGCCGCGCTCCGTCACTAGGCCCGCCGTCGCGCCGCCCTACCTGCCCGAGCCGCGCCGCCCGAGCCGCGCCGCCCGAGCCGCGCCGCCCTGACCGAGCCGCGCCGCCCCACCTGCAGCACCTACTGTTACAGCTGCTATTGCTACTGCTCTTACTGCTCCTACCACTGCTTCTACTGCTACTACTGCTACTGCTACTGCCACTATGGCCAGTCCTACTGTTCTCACTTCTGACACTGAGGGCCGACCGATTAAGTTTGATGTCTGGCTCGATGACCTGCACCTGTTCCTCCAGTTCACTGCCAAGGACGATGTTTCCCTGTATGACCACACGTCAGGCGCCGCTCCCGCACCTGCTGCTACTGCTGACAGTCCTGCTCGCTCACAGTGGCAGACCCGTGATGCACACGCTCGCCTAGCCGTTCGCAGCCACCTGCCGTTAGATGAGCGTGAGCACTTCGGCCAGCATAAGACCGCTAAGGAACTGTATGATGCTGTAGTTGCGCGCTACTCCTCCCCTGCTACTGCTGCGATAGGCCGTCCCTCGCTGCCCTACCTCTTCCCCAATCTGTCTGCCTTTGCCACTGTCGCTGATCTCATCACTCACCTCCGTACTAGTGATCTCCGCTACCGTGCCGCGCTTCCCCCCGATTTCCTCGCCAAGAACCCTCCCCCGATGTACCTCACACTGTACCACCTAGTCACCCGCCTCCCTGACTCCCTTCGCACTGTCAGGGACCACTTTCTCGCCCTCTCCCCCACAGACCTCACTGTCGACCTCCTCGAGAAGGAACTCCTAGCAGCTGAGAAGAGCATTGTAGCTGTAGGTGCCTCTCGTGGCGACCCTCGCACTCCCTTCTTTGAGGGATGCTCCCCCTCCCCCCTTCTTCCCTCCATTGCATCCGCTGTTGCTGTCGACTACCTCGGTGCTGAGGGGGTCGGGGCTGCGTCTACTCCCAGTGGGAGGCGCAAGGGCGGCAGGGGCAAGGGGGGCAGGGGTGGCGGAGGGGGCGGCGGGGGCGGCGGCGGTGGAGGGGGTGGGGGGGGCGGGGGTGGTGGAAGAGGTGGGAGTGGCTCTGGTGGTGGGGGGGTCAGTGGCGGAGCAGGGGGTGGTGGCGGCGGCGGTGGTGGGGGAGGTGGGGGTGGCGGTGGCAGTGGTGGCGGCGGTGGAGCTGGTGGCGGGCACGGTGGGGCGGTGCAGCGTGGGGGGTTCGGCGGTGGCCAGAGGCAGCAGCAGCAGCGTCCCGGCGAGACTCCCTCGTCCCAGCACCTCCGTGAGTGGTACTCTCAGCATGGGGGGTCTGGGGGTGGAGGTACCTGCTTGTACGTCATCCGCACAGGTGACCGCACAGGCCAGACCTGTGGGAGGTTTCACACGGCGCAGCGCTACTTCTTTCGTCTCGACGATGCCTGGCGCGAGCAGTTCCCTGACGCCTCTGAGCTGCCCCGCTGGGCTGATCTGCTTAAGAAGGGAATTGAAATCTTTGCTCTTGATTATGATGCTATCCTTGGTGCCGTGTATGCATTGACTATTAGTGTTGAGGGTGACTGCTACCTGAGTGTACCGCCCGACCCGGGTATTGGGACCAGTGAGACTGTCGCTCTAGGTGCTAGTGCGTCTGCTGCCCTAGGTCCTGGTGAGGCTGCTGCTCTAGGTGCTAGTAAGTCTGCTGCTCCAGGTGCTTGTGAGTCTGCGCCTACTGGTACTGCGTCTACTGAGGCACTGCACACCTTCACACTGGACTCAGGTGCTTCCCGCTGCTTCTTTTGTGACCGCACTGTCCTTGAGTAGCTAGCTCGGCCTGTTGCTGTCTCTCTCGTTGACCCCTCTGGGGGCCCAGTCCTTGCGACCTCCTCCACTGTCCTCCCTTGTCCGGCGGTTCCGGCCGGCACCCTGTCGGGTCTTTACCTCCCCTCGTTCTCTACGAACTTGGTGGCGGGCTCTGCTCTCCAGGACGGGGGTGTTCACCAGTTCACCCCTGCCTATGAGCGTGTGACCCACTGTACGTGTGCTCGGACGGGTCGCCACCTCGGACCTGTACACACTGACCACTGAGTCCCCTCAGGTAGCTGCGTCTGCGTCTGCGTCGGGTCAGCTGTCGGCCCCCTGCTCGTGTCGCACCCTCTCGCACCAGACTGTCCGCTGGCAGCACCGCCTTGGTCACCCCTCAGTGCAGCGCCTTCGTGGCATGCACTCCCGGTACCTTGTCTCTGGTCTTCCCAGGGTTCTCCCTCCTCTCCCACCCTTGCCTACTCCTCCCTGTCTTCCCTGTGTCGAGGGGTAGCAGCGCACCACTCCTCACTCCTCCTCGTTCCCACCCACAGAGGCTCCTTTGCAGACTCTCCACCTGGACGTGTGGGGCCCCGCCCGCGTCCGTGGACAGGGCCACGAGCGGTACTTCCTGCTGGTCGTCGACGACTACATGCGCTACACCACGGTCTTCCCCTTGCGCACCAAGGGTGAGGTCCCTGATGTTTTGATCCCTTGGATCCGCGCTGCTCGTCTCCAGCTCCGCGACCGGTTCCAGTCGGACTTTCCAGTCCTGCGTCTGCACTCTGACAGGGGTGGTGAGTTTTCCTCAGACCTCTTGGCAGCCTACTGTGCGGAGCACGGCATCCGTGAGACGTTCACACTGCCGGCCTCTCCACAGCAGAATGGGATTGCTGAGCGCCACATTGGCTTAGTCATGGAGGTCGCTCGTACCTCTATGATCCATGCGGCTTCCCCCCATTTTCTGTGGCCGTTTGCAGTGCAGTACGCGGCGCATCAGCACAACCTCTGGCCCCGGGTCTCTGCTCCGGAGACCTCGCCCACACTGCGTTGGACGGGGAAGGTTGGCGATGCGTCGGTGTTCCGAGTCTGGGGATGTCGAGCCTTTGTCCGCGATACATCAGCGGACAAGCTCTCCTCCCGTGCCGTTCCCTGCGTCTTTCTTGGCTTTGTCCCTGACGCGCCTGGCTGGCAGTTCCACCCCACCTCGCGCCGTGTCTTCCCCTCTCAGGACGTCACTTTTGACGAGTCGGTACCCTTTTACCGCCTATTCCCCTACCGCACTGCGCCGCTCCCCCCCCCGCCGCTCTTCCTCACGCCAGGTGCTGCTTCAGTAGACCCCCTCCCTCCCCAGGGTCCTGCTCCCTCAGGTGTTTCCCAGGTAGACCCGGTCGAGCCTGTCGAGGTAGATGTCGACTTTGGTCCTGTGAGGGGTACTGGGACTGAGGGTACTGAGTCTGGGGGTGCTGAGCCTGGGGGTGCTGAGCCTTGGGGTGCTGAGCCTGGGGGTGCTGAGCCTGGGGGTGCTGAGCCTGGGGGTGCCGAGCCTGGGGGTGCTGAGCCTGGGGGTGCTGAGCCTGGGGGTGCTGAGCCTGGGGGTGCTGAGCCTGGGGGAGCTGAGACTGACCGTCCTGCGCCTGGTGACGCTCCCTCTTCACAGCAGCTGCGTGAGTGGTACTCTCAGCGTTACAGCCTCCAGCGTGGGGCTGCTGGGGCTGGGGGTTCTGCCGGAGTTGGCGCTGGTGGTGCTGCGGGTGCTGGGTCGCAGCAGTCGCCTCCCTCCCCACAGCGACTGCGTGAGCGGTACGCTCGGCGCTCCACCCTCCGGAGCGGCGCTCCTGGCACTGGGGTGCCGCCCGCTGGAGGCCCTGGTGCTGCTGGAGGTACTGGAGCCTCTGGTCCTGGAGGTGCTCGTACAGGTGGTACTGGAGCTGCTGGGACTGGGGGTTCTGCTGGAGTTGGAGCTGGAGGTGCTGGCGCTGCTGGAGCTGCCGGTGGAGCTGAGGACGCTGAGCCTACTGGAGTTGGTGTAGCTGCTGACCCTGGTGTTGGTCCTGCAGGTGCTGGAGCCGATGGTGCGGCTGGAGCTGGTACTCCTGGGGGTACTGGAGTTGGCGCTGCTGGAGCTGCTGGTAGTGCTACAGGAGTTGGAGCTGCTGCTGGGGGTTCTGGTGCTGTGACTGCTGGTTCTGGGGGCGCTTCACGGCCGCGGCCGTACTTCGTTCCGCTCCTTCAGCAGGTTCTTGGTCAGCCTCCTCCTCCTTGTCCTGCTCCCTCCTTAGACTGTCCTCAGCCTGTCCAGTCACAGTTACAGTTACAGCCTGCCTCGCCCCTCCCTGGTCCTTCTCCCTACACTGGTCCGACAGGAGGTCTTACGGAGCATCGTGAGCCTGAGTCTCGTCCTGTGTCGCCTGCGTCTCGTTCTGCGTCGCCTATTAGTGCTGCTCGCACTAGTCGTCGTGTCCCGCGTTAGCGTCCTCCTGCTATCCCAGGCACTCACCAGATGACGCTTCGTCTTTCCACTGCTCCACAGCGTGTCCCTCTGCCTTCTCCTCCTGCGTCCTCTCTTCCTGCCCTTGCTGACCCGGAGTCTGACACTCTTCGTGCTGCTAGTCCTACTGTCACGCGTCTCCTGGCCACGGCTGTCACTGACCCTTCCTTTGCGTCTGCTGCTGCGTCTGCCCTAGTTGCTGAGCTTGTCGCCTTTGCTGCTCGCTGTCGCCTAGACTACGCCGCGAGTCTTGTTGCTGAGTCTGAGTCTGTCTGTCCTCCGTCCGTCGGGGGTGAATGTGCTCTAGGCACGGACGTCCTTGAGGACAGGCAGGAGGAGTTTGAGTGCTTTGCCGCTGCTGTACCTCATCTCGTGTCCATGCTGATTGCACCTGAGGGAGATCTGGATGCACCAGACATCCCGACCCCGCGCTCTTACGCTGAGGCGATCGCGGGTGAGTACTCCTCTTAGTGGCAGTCAGCCATGGACGCAGAGATGGCGTCCTGGAAGTCCACTGGCACTTACGTCGACGAGGTTCCCCCTCCTGGGGCGAACATCGTCAGTGGCATGTGGATCTTCAGGGTGAAGCGGCCGCCAGGTTCTCCGCCTGTCTTCAAGGCTCGTTACGTTGCTCGAGGCTTCAGTCAGCGAGAGGGAGTAGACTTCTACCAGACCTTCTCCCCCACCCCGAAGATGACCACTCTTCGGGTGCTACTGCACGTTGCCGCTCAGCGTGACTACGAGCTTCACTCTCTTGACTTCAGCACAGCTTTCTTGCAGGGCAGCCTGCACGAGGAGATCTGGCTGCGCCGCCTGTCAGAACTTATATTTGTAACTGCCTGTAGCTGTAGTTAGTGTAGTTATTATAAGCTTAGTTTGGTGGTGCACCTTCTTTGTTTCCTATGCTATATGTTCCTTGAAACCTATAGTGCAACCCATTTCTTCCCAACTTTCTCGACACCTTTCCCTTGGCACAACTCACTCGACATCCTCCTTGGGCCTAGGCTCCTAAGCCTAGGCCCTAGTTAAACCTAGCATCTAACTCCATCCTTGTTCTCCTTTTATCATGCTATCAGAGCGTTTTACGTCCTGGCCTGTGGGCCCGCCAATATGCTTCCGCTGCTATTTTTCTCGGTCGCGCGCCTAGGGCGCGTGGCGATTTTCTCTTGTCCCGCCCCTGGTTGGCGAGTGACTCCTTCTCTGCCCGTCGCGCGCCCCGTGGCACGCGACGGTGCCCTAAACCTGCCCGTCGTGCGCCCCGTGGCACGCGACGGTGCCCTGCTCGTCGTGCGCCCCGAGGCACACGACCGGGCCCTAAACTTAAACTTGCCCGTCGTGCGCCCCGTGGCACGCGACGGGCCCTCTCCGCACCTGCTCTCCCTGCAGCCGCCCCTGACCTACCTGCGCCGACACAATGTAGCCGCTCTGCGGCTTTCTTCCCGCCCACCCCCTCCTCCTTTGTTTCCCTGCAGCCGTGGGGAGGAGGGTATGGGGGTGGCGGGTGTTGGAGCTTTGGGTCGTTTCCTTCCCTTCCCCTCCTCCTCCTTTCGTTCCCACTGCTGCAGCTGCCGCTGGGGGGGAGGGTGTGAGGGTGTGGGGGAGAAGGGGGAGTGGCACCGGGGTGGCGGGTGTGAGGCAACCAGCAGCCGTCCCTCCACCTCTCCTCTCTTCCCCCCCCTCTCTGCTGCTCCTGCAGCAGTGTGGGGGAGGGGAAGGAGGAGGGTGAGGAGATGGAGTGGGTGACCAGCTAGTGTCAGCCCGCCTGCAGTTCCTGCTGTTGCTTGTTTATTATTTTGCATGTGTACACCTGCAGGTTGTATTCTGCACAAACTCCTCCTGCAGGCAGTTATGGGGGAGTGTCAGAACTTATATTTGTAACTGCCTGTAGCTGTAGTTAGTGTAGTTATTATAAGCTTAGTTTGGTGGTGCACCTTCTTTGTTTCCTATGCTATATGTTCCTTGAAACCTATAGTGCAACCCATTTCTTCCCAACTTTCTCGACACCTTTCCCTTGGCACAACTCACTCGACATCCTCCTTGGGCCTAGGCTCCTAAGCCTAGGCCCTAGTTAAACCTAGCATCTAACTCCATCCTTGTTCTCCTTTTATCACCGCCCTCCTGGCTTCACTGGGTCGTTTCCTCCTGGTACCCAATGGAGCCTCCGGCGGCCAGTCTACGGTCTCCGCCAGGCGCCACGTGAGTGGCACGACACACTGAGGACTACTCTTGCGGCTCTTGGGTTCGCGCCTTCTACTGCTGACCCGTCGTTGATTCTGCGCACCGACACGTCGCTGCCGCCGTTCTACATCCTCGTGTACGTCGACGACTTGGTCTTTGCCACTGCTGACACTGAGGCTCTCGCCCACGTGAAGTCGGAGCTGCAGAAGAGACACACGTGCACAGACCTGGGTGAACTGCGCAGCTACCTTGGCTTGCAGATCACCCGGGACAGAGCACGCCGCACCATCACACTGACTCAGTCACACATGGTGCAGCAGGTCCTTCAGGGCTTCGGCTTCACCTGGTCCTCGGCACAGGCGACTCCTCTGGCTACAGGTCACTCGCTCTCAGCTCTGCCTTCGGATGAGTCCGTAGAGCCGAGTGGTCCTTACCCAGAGCTAGTTGGCTGCCTCATGTACCTGATGACTTGCACTCGTCCTGACCTAGCATACCCTCTTGGCCTTCTGGCCCACTACGTGGCTCCTGGTAGGCACCGAAAGGTGCACTGGGATGCTGCAAAGAGGGTATTGCGCTACTTGTGCAGTACATCGGGCATGGGGCTCGTGTTTGGAGGAGGGAGCTCAGTTGTTCTCACTGGGCACTCAGACGCTTCTTGGGTTGACGACCAGGCTACTCAGCGGTCGTCACAGGGTTACACCTTCAGCCTTGGCTCTGGCTCAGTTTCGTGGCGTTCTACACGTTCGTCTTCAGTTCTCAGCTCCAGTTGTGAGGCTGAGATCTACGCCACAGCCATGGCTGCACAGGAGTTACGCTGGCTCACCTACCTGCTGATCGACCTGGGAGAGCGGCCTCGTTCTCCTCCAGTGCTGTACGTCGACAACAAGGCTGCCATTGCCTTGTGTGAGGAGCACAGACTGAAGCACAGAACGAAGCACATCGCTCTACGTTACTTTCTGGCTCGAGAGTTGCAGCAGCGTGGTCAGCTTCGTCTGCGTTACGTGGCCACTCAGGCCAACACTGCTGATATATTCACCAAGGCACTTCAGTCTGGTGATCATCAGTGTTTCTGCACTTTGCTAGGGCTTGTGCCCACTTTTCCTCACTTGTTGTAGACTTTGCCTGTACTGTGATATATATGTATATATACCTGCATGCTTGCTAGATATAGATCACTGTGATGCTTGTACTACATATATGTCTCTACATGTGAACTGGCCCTTTGCTTGTGCTCAGAGTGTGTGGTGACGTTGTGATCCACCCTGAGCTTGCTTTGTCTTTCTTGACTAGTCTTGTGACCCCTTGCTCTCCCCCACTTAGCCTATGGGGTTGTGTCAAACATTATATATATGTTTCTGCTGTGTAGGCTACAGTGGGTTTAGCCTTAGGGGGTACAACATTCTAGGGTTTTCCTACTTGTACTCCCAATCTTGCTAGTACAATCACTTCTCTCATTCTGACACTTGTCAGTCGCTCACTTACCCAACAGTCCTGTGGCACCACCGTCTTGGTCACCCGTCACTCCCACACCTCCGTAGCATGTCTAATCAGCATCTTGTCACAGGTCTCCTGCGCGTGTTTGCGTTGCTCCCTCCTTCGCCTACGCCGCCGTGCACACCCGGCGTAGAGGGTAAGCTGCACACCACTCCTCACTCCTCCTCCCTTTGCCCGGCCACCACAACTCTTCACTTGGACGTCTGGGGCCCTACCCCTCGACCTGGACCTGGGAGGGAGAGCTTCTTCCTGGTGGTCGTTGACGAATTTTCTCGCTACACCAGCATGTCCTCCCTGCGGAAGAAGTCCGACGTGACGTCTACCCTAATCCGGTGGTTGCTCCCCAATAGTGCCACGCGTGGTAGTCGTGTCCTGCGTCTCCACTCCGACCGTGGGGTGATTTCGTTCCAACGTGCTTGCCGGGTTCTGTAGCGAGGAGGGCATTACTTAGTCCTAAATGCTTCCAGAGTCCACACAGAATGAGGTTGCTGAGCGCCGCATTGGCTTGGTCATGGAGATCGCTTGCACCTCCATGATCCATGCTCGTGCGCCTCATTTTCTGTAGGCCTACGCGGTTCGCTACGCTGCCCACAAGCTGAACCTATGGCCTCGCGTCTCACGGCCAGAGGCTTCACCGACCAGACTTTGAACTGTGTCCCATGGTGTTGCATCGGAGTTCCATGTCTAGGGCTCCCTTGCGCATGTCCGCAATACCTCTGCGGACAAGCTCTCGGCTCGCACCCTCCCCTGTGTCTTCCTTAGTTTCCCAATGGCCTCCTCTGACTTCGAGCATTGCATGAAATGCATAGCTGTTTCAGCATGCATGCAGGCTTTACCTCTCTCTGTTCTCCTCCTCCCCACTTGATTCCCGCCCTTAAGCCACCATCCCTCGACCTCTGCTCCGATCTCAGCAGTCCCCTAAACATCCTCCGCCTCCACTTGCTCTCCACCTCCTCCTCCACTGTGCTTGCGCCACCCCTTCCTAGCTCCCCCGCTGCAAGCACCGGATCATGCAGAGCACCCCACACACGCTATGGTGTTGCCAAGCTACCCACCAAGGTCACATACCACGACGCACCACCTGCACACTCCCCCCCGTCCACTACCCCAACCAGGCCCTGATACACAGGCGAATCCTCTGGAGTGCATATCCTGGCCCGGAAACAGCGATCGCTGTCTCCATCCTCCCCTGATGAGTTTCTCTCCGCAAGAAGGACAGCAAGGCGATACAGCACCCGCGGGCAGAGCAGATCCGTGGGGGCAGAGGGGGCTACAGTGGACAGCAGCACCACGTCTGTGGGCTTCAGCCTCAGCCTTGCTGCACCTCCCCACTGCAGCCTCGCTGCTGCCCCAGCAGCCCCTGCAGCCTGCTGCTGCTGCTGCTGCTGCACTCCAAAGTGCACGTAGCGGAATCTCTTCCTTTCAGAGCACGCAGCCGTCGAGTGCGCCTCCCTTGCGGCGCCTCCCAGCTGCCATTTGCACCGACCAATCGGCTGGCCATGTGGTACCATGCGCCACGGTGGTGCGATCTCATCCAACGCACTACCGTGCACTGAACGCCCGTGGACCTCGCCCTGGCAGTAGTCGTCATCACCAGAGTAACTCACAAACTGCCGCTGCCAGTCATCCCTCTCCACCTCGCCGCATCCATCCGCTCTCGCTGCCCACCTATCACCACCCTTCTGCACCGCTTGGACCACGATCCGTGTGGAGGCGGCGGCAGGCAGCTGCTCAAGGCCACATTTGAGCCCCACACGGCACTCCTCCAGCAGGGGCCAGCGGAAGGCAGACAGGTACGAGGGTACATCCGGAAAGGTGGTTGGTATGGGCCGTACCTGCAGCACACAGGATGGCTCCAGAAGAGATAATGAAAGGAGAGAGGGGCTTGGGCGTGGTGCGGATGGCAAGGCATGGATCACGTTCTAGTGTGAGAACCAAGCTCGCTGCGAAAAGCAGTCAGACTAATCAAGCGCCACAGGTGCCAACCGCCACAGGCTACTCATGAATCGCACGTCATTTCTCAACGAAGTGAGCCTTCTTGTCGCCTCACCTTCTCTCGGAGCAGCTCGTCCTCGATGCTCCACGTCAGCATGAGCTGCTCCAGCTGGCAACCCCGTGTTGGCACCGCTACATCCTTCCCTGCCATGTGGTGCTGGAACCCTCGTATTCAAGGACGCCCAGTTATCTTGAAAGATGGCTCCCAGATATCGCTTTCAAGAACTTCCATTAACCATGACTTCAACGGCGAATTTAATAGGTTCGACGGTTTCCACGTATTGGTGCAATACCACGCAAGAGCCTCGGAGCCTTCGCGCAAGTGCGAGCCTCGGAGCTTTTGCACAAGTGCAACCGCGGAAACGAAAGAAACTCTTTGAGTCGTCCGCTCAGAAGTGGCTTTATTGGCCACTAAAGACGCACCCAGGGAGGTTGTACAGCGAGATGTGACAGCGAGAAAGCCGAGAAAATGCCACAGAGGTAGAGGCCAATAGTTTCGCTTATGAACATGTGAGGAGCAAGCCAATAAAAAAAACGTGTTGTACCCTCTCAAAGTCGCCGTGCACGCTTTCGCCGAATCTTCTTGCTCCGTGCATTGCGGCTCGACCCTTATTCATGGAACGGAATGCTAGGAACTCGCGGAGACGCGACGTTGAGCGAAGGCGTGAACTAGGAGAGAGGGAACAAGAGGGACGATGACGGAGCATGATGGCATGCCTTTGTCGCGGCCACCGAGGTGGTCCGTTGAACCCTCTGGCTGGGCCAATAATCAAACGGTTTCTGTTGAAAGGCGCCATGCATGAACGGCGCTGCGGGAATCGCCAGGACGACGCACGATAGTGCAGAATCTCACAGGGAAAGGAGCCAGTGGGTGGTACTGTACGAAGCTGGCTGGGAAGGCGGAAAAGGTTGCTGGTGAGATTCGTGAATAGGAGGGTGGTGCGAAGCGAGTGGAAGGGCTGGTGTGGTATGGAGAAGAGTTTGGTCGGAATTCCCAAGGTGATCTAGGCGTTGGTTGGGCGTGAAGGTGGCCACGTTCGACGGCGGGAATGTAGATGATGGATCGACTGATGCGAGCGATTGATCTGCTGATTGGTTACCTGTAATCAAGCTACAGTTATATTGACAAGTATTCGTATACATCCTGAGATTTTTTTTTCAAGATGGACACTCTCTGTTCCAGCAGCAGCAGCACCATGACCAAAGCACTGCGGGTATTTTGAACCACGTAGTCATTAGGAACTCGCCTTTACAAAAGCATATCAGCTATTAAACCGTGGTAGGTAGGTACACTAGCAATTTATACAGGATGGCAAAGTAAATATGAACAATATGCTTTTGAGCACAATTCCTATCAGATTATATAACCAAGCTTGCAGAACCCTCAACACAACCCACGACCATCACCTTCAAGTTCTTCACACCACTTGCAGAAACAAGGGAGGACACACCGGACGAACTAATCGGCACAGAAAGAAAACTCAAGCCTTGAGCTCTCTCTGATGAAGACTGTACACCGTGCTGCTTTGCTGCTACACTCCCGGAAAGGCCATTAAAAACTCTTGCACCCTGCCGCATGGCTCCATTGGTTAAAATGAGAGCCAAGTTGTTCCAGCTCAGATGCCCATGCCTACGCAATGATGTCGCCCGAATCACTGAAGGGCGGAAGGCAGGGAAAGGGGAAGGTGGGAAAACAGAGAAACACTTGAAGGAGCATTGGAGTGAAGGTCTCAAGAGACTCAAGCTCAGATGCCCACGCCCATGCAATAACGTCGACCTAATCACTGAAAGAAGGAAGGCAGGGGAAGGGGAAGAAACAAAGGAGGCTTAAAGGAGCGTTGGAGGGACAATGACGCAAGAGGGAAGAGTGGCTCCATTGCTCGATGAGGGAGAAGAGAATGTGGCAAATCGCTCGAAACCTGTGTGAGTGAAGGCTAGAACTTGCATGTGACCAGCCTTTATTTGCATCTGTGTGATAGGTTGTTGGCAGCTCCAGCAGACAGTAGAACGTATGATAAGATGCAAACGATGAGAATGAGACCTTATTTTTCATACAAGAGTGCTGCTTGGTCCTACTTCCTCCTCTCCCACTTCACTCGTCCCACACCTGCCAGCGACGATAGACTGGCAGCACTGAGAACAAAGGACTGAGGGATTACAAGCCTGACACTTATAGACATGAGAACTGATTTTTCTTTACCCTTCCCTCAACTGCCAGCGTCCTCTCCTCAACTGCCCGCAACGATGGACTGGTCCTCGAGAGGCTGGCAGCACGTGAGGCCGCCACCCGTCACTTCTGTCACTCTGAGCCCCCCCGTGGAGTCGGCAGCAGTGATGGGCAGCCCCCCTTATGAGAACCCTGTCACTGCTAGTGGCGACGTGGGGGCGGTGGTGGTAAGAGCCGGGAGGCGGCACTTAGAGGGGACAGAGGAAGAAGGGGCGCACGCATGTCCCACAGCAGCACAGCGCCTGGAAAGGGGAGGGGGGCGTGTGGGAGGAGAAGTGAGAGAGGGTTTTACTATGGTGGTGTTGGTGAGAGGGGAGAGGTGGCTCCTCCAGGGGACACAGGCCGCAGAGGGCGCTCGCTTGTCCCACAGCAGCACAGCGCCTGGGGGAGGGGAGGGATGTGTGGGGGAGGAAAGGTGGGAGAGTGATTGATGAGATGGGGGAGATGTAGGCAGAAGAGGGCGCTCGCCTGTCCCACCGCAGCACAGCGCCTGGAAGGGAGGGGAGGGATGTGTGGGAGCAGTGAGAGAGTGAATAATATTGGGGGTTGTGGTGAGAGGGGAGATGCGGCACCTCCACGGGACAGAGGCAATGGGAGGCGCTCGCATGTCCCACAGTAGAACTGAGCCTGGAGGGGGGAGGGCGAGATGAGAGGGAACAGCAATGGTGAGAGAGGGACTAAGGATGACCCTTGAGGCGCCTCGAAAGGACATAGTTCCCACGGATAGAGGCAGTGGGACGTAGAGAGAGAGGTAGCAGGTGGTTTATGAAGTGTTTCGTGTTCCATCTGTTTCAGAATGTGCCGGGAGAACACGAGAGTAAGCGACATATGTATATTAATGAAGGTGTTTCACGAGAGTCGAAGAGGCATACGATAGGGCAACACAGCCGCACCCCGTGCTGAGCTGTCGTTCTCTCACCATTGGCTGACCCCAAGGCAGCAAGGGGCCACGCTGACGTGGCAGGGATGGCCACTTGGAGCGATGTGCTTCGCGCGCGGTGCTGATTAGACTCCGCTGGAGGAGGAGGGTGGACTGGTGAGGAGAGATGATGGGAAGGCGGACGGAACGGAAGGAGAGGGGAAGGAGTATGGAACGAAGGGGGAAGGAGGACAGAAAAAATGGAGGTGCAATGAGGGAGGGAGGGGGGTGGAGGGGGGGAAGACAAAGAAGCGGGTTGGAGGTAGGGTGTGATTTGGTCGTCTGATGGAGCTCCATCACAAGGAGATGGACAGGTTGGGGGATTCAGTGAAATTTTTGAAATACAAATAGGGGGAAGAGGGAGAGGGGGAGCAGAGTAAAGAAGAGAAGTAGCGAGCGTACCATCCTAAAATGAGATCTGCTCGTAGAGAGGAAGGTTAAGGGAGTGCGCTGTGCATAGATTGCACAGTATCACTCACTCACACACCTGTTCTGTCTGAGGCACCATAAGAATGCGGGGTGGGGAGGGGAGGAGGAGAAGGAGAAGGCGCATAAGTGTGGAGTGGATGGGCTGACCTGACCTGATGTGTCGGAGCCAGAATAGGAGTGGGTCAACGAGGAGGAAGAGGCAAGGCTCATAGCATAGCCTCACCTAATGTGCGAGACCCTGTGGGAATGAGGAGAAGAGGAGAGGAAAGGAGGCGGAGGGGCTTTGGTGTGTGTGGGCTGACCTGGTGTGTGTGGGCTGACCTGGTGTGTGTGGACTGACCTGGCGTGTGTAGACTGACCTGGCGTGTGTGGACTGACCTGGCGTGTGTGGACTGACCTGGCGTGTGTGGACTGACCTGGTGTGTGTGGACTGACCTGGTGTGTGTGGACTGACCTGGCGTGTGTGGACTGACCTGCGGGCCTCGCAACTTGGGACGCGAGCAATCCTATTGTAAAACCTTAAAAAAAGGAACAAAAGAAAATATACATATTATCTCTAGGGGCCTCTAGAGGGAATGGGGCATGCTAATTAAAATAGCTTGTGCACGCCAATGCTTCTATTGGGGCATTTGCAAGAAGACTGCGGCATGCACTGCTGGCCAAGGAAAATCGCTCAAGAGATGCAACAGCTATCCTCGTTTGTGCGACGAGCAGACACCCTTATTGTCACATTATCTTCATCCCTGTACTTAACAACGCACTCCAGATTTTGTCGCGGAGCCCACGCCATCACCGCAGGCCTCACCACGGCCCTCCCGCCACCGCACGTCCCGCTTCCCGCTATAACCCAAAATCGCACTTCGTCCCTTACCCTCGCTGCTAAGAAGCGATCCGCGACCCGCTCCAACGCTTCATGGACGAGTAACCCGCGCACGTCGATTGTGGCAGACCGAGGGTGTCTGCCGGACCCATTTGTCCGGCTTGCTGGTCCGACGGACCCATTGGCGGACTAGCAGTGAACCAGATATGCTTGTTCTTTTTTTTGGACATTTGCAAGAACACTGCTGCATGCACTTTTGGCCAAGAAAATCGCTCAAAGCATACAGCAATCCTCGTTTGTGTGACGAATTATTCTCACACAACCACCTTCATTCTCGGAATGAAGGTCAACAACGCACTCCAGCTTTTTTCGCGCAGCCCACGCCATCACCGCAGGCCTCAGCCTGCGCCCCGTTATAACCCAAAAATCCTCTTCGTTCCTTGCCCTTGCTGCGTAGAGGCGATCCGCGACCCGCTCCAACGCTTCATGGACGAGTAATCCGCGCACGTCGATTGTGGCAGACCGAAGGTGTCTGCCGTTGTTGCGTTTAGCATAAATCAGCCTGCTCGCCTCCCGATCACATCGTTCCGAGAGTTCCTTGTAATACTTCCTTTCGTCAAGCAGCTCCTTCGCAAGAGCGCGTTGCCCTCGCTTATAAGCGACCCGCGATTCCTCTTTTAACTCTCGAGCAGTTTCGGCATTGGCCCTTGCTTCTTCCCTCAGGCGCTGGTTTTGCGGCGATTCTCTGGACGATGAGTTCCCCATTTGCACGAAGATGAACAATCAAATCAACTTTGTGCGAGTATCGAATGAAGGAATCGAAAAACGTCTGCTGAGAATTCTCTGCGGGCCCTGAAGATCTCTCACCAGAGAGCAGGCTTTTTATAGCTACCACTAAGAATCTGACGGAGCATCTATGTTTGTCCTGCATGCACAAGCATAAGAACATATGTGACATGGTCCGGTACAAATGTTTTAAAGCCTTGGTCCGACATGCTGGTCGGACGAAACCATTTTGCGGACCAGCAGTGAACCAGCCATGGGCAAGAATCTGTCGCGTTTCGGTTTGTCCATGTCCTTGCGCACTCGAAAAAATCGAGTTACAGTACCCGTGCCAAGTGCAATATCACGAAAAGGTTTCGCTAGCCACTACTGTTTACGGACGAATCGCGGTCTGGCGTGCAGACCAAGTCAGTCACGCCGTTTTTTTAGATCGAACGCTACAATAGGATTGTAATACCCTTACTGGTCCCGTACACCACTGGTTCACGCAACGGTTTGCGAGCTGGTCCGTCGGGTCCGTTTCGGTCCGTGAACTCGCTCATTTGAGACACGTCCATGTGGGTCCGACACAGACCTGGCGGACCAGCTCAAAAACCACCACGGAGCCAGCGGCAAACGGGAGCGAGGTGCGGGACTTAGTAATACGGTGTAATACGGTTGAATTAGTCAAGGTCAAAACGTCCATGTTTGTTGTGATGTTCTAGAAATTGGCCTCAGATTGATACACCCTTACCAAAATGCTCCCCACCTAAAGAATGCCCCAACTAGGCTCAGGAAGGAGTCAGAACTAACCTTTTGAATCCTTATAGGAATCTGTAGAATGGTAGAGACAATATGTACAGCAATACCGTATGCCTCTGCTTTCATGGCATATCATAATACCACGCCTGCGGAACCCTCTTCACAACCCACGACCATCACCCTCGAGTTCTTCACACCACTAGCAGAAACAAGGGAGGACACACCAGACGAGCTAATCGGCACAGAAAAGAAACTCAAGCCCTGTGCTTTCTTTGACGAAGACTGTACACCATGCTGCTGCCCTGCTGCGCTCCCGGAGAGGCCTCCATAGTTCCTTGCACCCTGGCGCATGGCACCATTAAGATGAGGGTGAAGTAGCTCAAGCTCAGATGCCCACGCCCATGCAACAATGTCGCCCGAATCACTGAAGGGAGGAAGGCAGGGGAAGGGGAAGGTGTGGAAACGGAAGAGTGCTCAAAGGAGCGTTGCAGAGACAACGAGGCAAGAAGGCCCTTTCCGAGGTGCCTCGAAAAAACGAGGAGTGCTCAAAGAGCGTTGGAGGGAAAATGAGGAAAGAGGGCCGGACGACTACAGTAAGTGCTGCTTACTCCTACTTCCTCCTCTCCTCACCTGCCAGCGAGGACAGACTGATCGCCGAGAGGCTGGCAGCACGTGAGGCCGCCACCTGGACAGTGCTGAGATGCCAGCTCAGCACCGCCCATGCGCATCTGAGAGCCAGATGGCAGAGGCGGAGGGGGGAGGATGGGATGAGTAGAGGATAAGCTTACTGCGTTTGTAAGCATGATGGGGTGGGTGGGGTGCAGCAGTAGCACAGTGCATTTTCCCCGTAAGAAACGACCGGCCCTTAAAGCCCTTCCAGTACTGTGAGACTCCCTGTGGAGTCAACATCCGTGAGGAGAAGCGCTATTACTTAAAGAACATTAGCCCTGTCACTCTGAGGGGCTTTAAGAACATTTAGCCCTATCACTCTGAGACTTAAAGCCCTTAAAGCCTCACCTCCAGCACTCTGAGCCCCCCCGTGGAGTCGGCAGCAGTGACGTGCAGTCCCCCATACGAGAACACCAGCCCTGTCACTGCTAGTGGCGACGTGGGGGCGGTGGTGGTGGTGAGAGGGGAGAGGCGGCAGCTCCAAGGGACAGATGCCGAGGGGGGCGCACGCATGTCCCACAGCAGCACAGCACCTGGAGAGGAGAGAGGTGGAGGGGGGCGGGAGATTGTGTGGACGAGGGACTGATGGGGGGTCAAAGATAGGTTCAGGTAGGCATGATCATAGTGCCCCGGCGGGTCGGGTCGACCCGACCCGACCCGGGTTTTGACCCGGGTCGGGTCAGGGATTTTGACGCGCTGACCCGGCCGGGTCGGGTCGGGTTTACCCGGCCGGGTCGGGTCGACTCGAGACCCGAAACCGGGTCGGGTCGGGTCGGGTCGGATTCCGACCCGACGTTGCACCCGACTCGGTTTCGGGTATCGCGCCCTAAGTCGGGTCGAGTAATTGGCCCGACCCGACATTTCCCCTCTCAACAAATTGAAGAAAAGCAGATCGCGAAGTCAATGTCTAGGGTTTCTTTGTTCCCTCGACATTGACATCGATCTGCAATACCTAGGTAGCTAGCAAGCAATATTTCTCAAGCACTACTACTCTCTAAACCTGCGCCAATGTTTAGGAACACCAATACTAATGTTTCCATGTTGGCGTAAGGGTTTTTAACCTAGCGCGACCAGGCCTAGATGTTCGATTTTATAGTAGTAGTTATTCTTAGCTCTCACAAGCGACTAAATTCTGGCCCCGCGTTCTAATCGCCCCCTGCGCGCCTACCAGGCCCGCATCAATAGGGACGCGACCCCCATAGTCTAGGGCTGCGCACTTCCTCTAACGTCGCGACTCCACTTTAAGCAAACGTTCAATCTTTGCAACACTGGACAGTAGTGAGGAGAACCTCTTACACTGCATATGGGGTTCTGGCCCGACCCGACCCGACCCGGCCCCTACCCGACCCGACCCGGGGGCGGGTCACGCCTGACCCGGCACCCGATACCCGGGTCGGGCCAGGATTCCTAGAAGTTCCGACCCGACCCGACCCGACCCGGAACCCGGCTGGCCCGCCCAAGTCGGGTCGGGTCGGGTCGGGTCGGGCCTAATGATCATGCCGTTCAGGGAACAAGGAGACGGGAGGAGGGGGTTGTCAGGGGGTACGAGGGAGAGTGAGTGGATGGAGTTGAGATACCGGAGTTAACTTGTAAGCTATTACAAATCGACTCATTAAGTACTTGGAAATGAAGGGTTGTTGGACAGAGAGAGTGGGACGGAGATACAGGAGGGGGATTCCACAGGAGGGAAAGCGTGGTGGTGAAGACGAAAGCAAGTTGTTGAATCTCACACACTTGAATGAAATCGAATCACCATGGCACGCAGATGAGGACATAGACACTGCTGAAGTAAGCGTTTTAAGGAGGAGTTTGAGAGCACAAGTTCACATTTGCCCATAAGCCCAAGTTAGGGTCAGATAACATTTGCCCATGAGCACAGATTAGGGTCAGATAACATTTGCCCATGAGCACAGGTTAGGGTCAGATAACATTTGCCCATGAGCACAGGTTAGGGTCAGATAACATTTGCCCATGAGTGACAGAATACCCTTCGAGGCTGTTTTTGAGGCGCCTCAAAAACGACCTCAGTGACTGAATACCCTTCGAGGCTGCAAAAGTGATGGCGAACGCATTCCATGTTTCAATGCAAGCGCTTACAACCCCGAATGCGTTTGCCATCACTTAGATTTGTTTTGTCGCTGAGCTGTCAGTCTCTTACCATTGGCTGACCCTGAGGCAGCAAGGGGCCATGCTGACGTGGCAGGGATGGCCACTTGGAGCGATGTGATAGGTGCGTCATGCTGATTGAGCTCCGCTAGAGGAGGAGGGTGGACTGGTGGGGAGTAGATGATGGGAAGGAGGATGAAGGTGTACGGAAGGTGCAATGAGGGAGACAGAGAAGGGAATACAAAGGAATGGGTAGCGGTTTAGGCGTGAATTGGTCATCTGATGGAGCTCCAACACAGAGAGGTGGAATCGTGAGGAGAGGTAGTGAATTTTGAGTCGACTCAAAAGTCGAGTCGACTCAAGAGTCGAGTCGACTCAAGAGTAACCTCATCTGATGGAGCTCCATCACAGACGGGTGGAATCGTGGGGAGACGTAGCGGTATGGACCGACCTGAAGTGTCGGAGCCAGCATAGGCGTGGGGGGAGGAGGAGGAGAAGAAGGAGGAGAAGGGCGCGGCGGAGAGGAAGGGCGAGTGGGCCATGCCATGCTCCACTGCTTCACTGCAAAGCCTCACTTGATGTGCCTGAGCTAGCATAGGAGTGGGGGAGGAGGAGGAGGAGGAGGAGGAGGAGGAGGAGGAGGAGGAGGAGGAGGAGGAGGAGGAGGAGGAGGAGGAGGAGGAGGAGGAGGAGAAGGAGGAGGAGGAGGAGGAGGAGGAGAGGAGGAGGAGGAGGAGGAGGAGGAGGAGGAGGAGGAGGAGGAGGAGGAGGAGGAGGAGGAGGAGGAGGAGGAGGAGGAGGAGGCAAGGTGTAGCGAATTGGCGCACATATATTGCATAGCCTCACCTAATGTGTCTGAGCCGCCATGGGAGTGGGGCGAGGAGGAGGAGAAGGAGGCGAAGGGCGAGGCGGAGAGGAAGGGCGAGTGGGCCATGCTCCACTGCTTCACACTGCCGTCCCATGATGCTGTGAACAGACACGTGTCAGCGCCCCACTGGCTGACCTGAATGCATGACACCGTGTCGTCGTGTGCATGCATCTGGTGATGGCACACAGGCGGGCAGGCAGGGAGCAGTGGGGCAGGAGGAAAGGAGGGAACGGAGGGACGGGAAAGGAGGTGGTGGACGTGAGGAAGCGACAAGGGGTTATGTTTGTTTCGCTGACGGGCACATATGACACAATGAGTGAGGAAAGCGGTGTGCATTTGGTGTTTGTCATCATGGTGTGCATTTGGTGTTTGTCATCATGGTGTGCATTTGGTGTTTGTCATCATGGTGTGCATTTGGTGTTTGTCATCATGGTGTGCATTTGGTGTTTGTCATCATGGTGTGCATTTGGTGTTTGTCATCATGGTGTGCATTTGGTGTTTGTCATCATGGTGTGCATTTGGTGTTTGTCATCATGGTGTGCATTTGGTGTTTGTCATCATGGTGTGCATTTGGTGTTTGTCATCATGGTGTGCATTTGGTGTTTGTCATCATGGTGTGCATTTGGTGGCACACATGCAGAGGCAGGAGGCGGGAGGCAAGGGGGTGGGGAGAGCAGGCGGGAAGGAGGAATGGAAGGGATAGGAGGGACGGGGTGGGAGGCAAAGGTCCGGGAGACAGGGAAAGGGGAGCTTTCAAAGAGTGGAAGTGAGACAAAAGCTTTTTCTATTTTTATTACTATTATTATTATTATTACTATTATTGTTATTGTTATTGTTATTGTTATTGTTAAGGGCATGGCACACAGCGGCATGGCGTACCTTGGAGAGGCATCGACCGAAGTCAGGCGAGTAGAGCCACACATAATCATCTGATGAGCCCAGCAGCACTGACTGGTGGTTGTGAGAGAGGCCAGGTGTGGAGAAGTGGAGCAGTGGTGACTCACACAGGCAGCAGAAAAGTGGTTCGATCAGGGCGGCAGGCATCCGAACGAGAGGGGGAAGAACAGGGGAAGGCATGGATTGTGAAGACAGGAGAGGGAGGGCTGGATGATGATAGCAGGAGGCACTGGCAGTGACGAGAGGAGCTGAGGAGGAGAGATATGCTCTTGGTGAAGCAGCATGGGGAGAGGAGAGGCGTGGGATGACGTGGGACATGACATGACATGAGGCGTGGGATGACGTGGGACATGACATGACATGACATGACATGACATGGCATGACATGACATGACATGACATGAGGCGTGGCTGGGATTCTGAGAAGGAGAGGCACGGGGTGACATTGGGGAGGCCAGACGGGAAGAGCATACCCAGAAGCACGTTGAAAAAGAATACGCAGGGAGAGATCGCTTTTGAGAATTCTCAAAAGAGCATTCTCGAAAGCGATTTCCACGGGAAGAGCATACCCAGAAGCTCTTTCAAGAAGGAATACGCAGGGAGAGAGGAGAGCGGAGCATAATGGGGAAGGTTGGTAACTCCTGAATTCTCAGACGGCTGGGAATGGGGACATGCGAGTAAGAGGAATAACAGCCTGCCTACGCATTGCACAGGGCAAAAGGAGGGAAGCACTGTAAGGGAGAGGAGTCTCAACTGGGTAGCAGTGGGACGGAAGGGGCGGCAGCAGCGCCATGCTGGCCAATGGGAGGCTGCCAACTCGCGCTGACCTCAGCTGCTGCTGCGACTCCACTGAGAAGACCTGATTGGTGGAGGGCGGATTGAGGGAGAAAGGATCAGAGGAAGACGTTAGGAGGGGAGAATGGGGGAGAGGATGGGAAAGTTATTTAGAAGGCTGATGCAGCAAGAGGCCTTCACCACCGTGGAATCACTGATAGAAATGGAATGACCCAAACCATCAACGCTTTCCGAACCACATACACGCCATAAGACCCCAAGCTCACCTTTCCTTTCACCAAGCCATAATCGCTTCTCACCTTCACCATACCATCTGCACCCGCCGTGGTGATAGTAAGCCGTTTGACTCTGCATGCTCTCTCTGCCATACCGCATCTGCTTTAGAGAAACCCCACAACCAACTACAGGCCATGAGCATCCTTTCACCTTCACCATGCCATCAGCCCCCCTCACCTTCACCATGCCATCATCCCCCTCAGTGGTGAGAAGCAAGTCGCATGACTCTGCATGCTCTGCCAGGGCCACTGCCACCACCGCCCACAATGTGCCTTCACCCAACACACCAAGAGCCTCCTTTCACCTTCACCATGCCATGAGGCCCCCTCACCTTCACCATGCCATGAGGCCCCCTCACCTTCACCATGCCATGAGGCCCCCTCACCTTCACCATGCCATGAGGCCCCCTCACCTTCACCATGCCATGAGGCCCCCTCACCTTCACCATGCCATGAGGCCCCCTCACCTTCACCATGCCATGAGGCCCCCTCACCTTCACCATGCCATCAGCGCCCGCTGTGGTGAGCAGCAAGTCGTGCGATTCTGCATGCTCTGCCAGCGCCAGCGCAACCACCGGCCCCCGATGCGCCTTCACTCGCCGCACTCTCGCCCTCCTCCTCCCGCTGCCGCTGCCATCGTTGTCGCTCCTGCTCCTCTCACTGCTTCTGCTCGTCTCACTGCTGCCCACACCACCTTCTGTTCTGCTTGCCTTGCCGTTCGCCCTGATGCTCACTGCACTGCTCACATCGCTGCTTCCCACTACAGGTGACGGCTGAAAGGCAGGGAAGGGCGCAGTGGGGGAGAAGGGAGGCGAGCAGGCATGCTCGTCCCCTCCTCGCCCCACCCCAGCCTCGTCCAGCCACTCTCTCAGCGCCGCCATCTCCTCTTCCTCTCTCACTGCTGCGGCTCTTGCCACACCAGCAGCACCAGCTGCATTGACTGCATTGACTGCATTGACCGCAGCACCTGCAGAGCCCATAGAGCCCCTGCCCTGCGCTGCTCGCCTGGCATTGAAGCTTCCCAGACCCACCGCCCCCTGCAGCGCCTTCAGCCTCCCCGTCTCGTCTTCTTCCACCATCCCGCTACTGTTCGCCATGCCACCTGTGCCCCCTGTCTCACTGCTTCCATCCGCAGCCGCGCCAGCTGTACTGTCTGACGTGGCGCTGACCTGGCGCAGTGCACTGGTACTAGAACCTGCAGCTTGTGCTGGTGGTGATGGTGGTGGTGGCTCTAGTGAGGTTGCTTTTTCCACTGCCGCTCCTCCTATTGCTGCTGATGATGAAGCTGCTGCTGCTTCAGTTGCTGCTAAGCCCACACCGCCTGCACCTGCAGCCCCTGCTCCTGAGCTTGGCTCTGCAGGAGCACCTGCGCCTGCTGCCCTCTCTTCTTCTCCTGCCAGTGCTACTGTAGGCAAAATCGCACCCCGCTCCACATCGCTGCGGTCTTTATGTGCAGCACTCGCTGCTGCTGCTGCTGTTGCTGTTCCTGCTGCTGATGCTGCAGCACCATCTACAGCCCATCCGGTATCAGCGGCAGCAGCAGCAGCATCCTTGCAAGCATCACGGCTGGTAGCAGATGAACCAGCCACATCAGACCCATTGGAGGTCAGAGCAGCACCAATGCCACCACTACCACTGGTGGCTTGAGTGCCAACTAAAACACTAGAATCAACACTCGTGCTGCCACCAGCACTAGGAGCAGTAGCAGCAAGAGTATCGGTGGCATCACCAGTAGCAGGCACGACAGCAGCAGCAGCAGAGGCGGAGGGCAGGAGAGGCAGGAGGCGCATGAGGAGGTGGACGGCAGTGGAGGGGTCACAGAAGGGCAGGGAGTCAACGCTGGGTGTGGCACGTGGGGAGCGCTGCGGGTGGGGATGGATGAAGAGCTGCCTTGGCGTTTGACCAAACTCGTTGATCTGAGAAGGGCATTTGGGGAAAAGCAGAATGGGAGGGAGGATGGAGGGGAAGGGGGAGGAGAAAGAGGGAACATGGCTGAGTAAGTTCAGCAGGGATTGCAGAAAAATTGGTGTATGATTTGAAGTGGCACCTGTATCAGCATAAATTAATCTATGTTAAACGAGACGAGTTTCCAGTCGATTCTTGACTTGTATCGACCTATTTATAAGGTGCCCCAAAACAGGATTGTTTCACTCAACATCAGAGCTGCTTTCCCACAGCACACCTGAGTCTCGAAGCCTCTCCTCTCCACAAAGCTGCTGAGCGAGTCCAAATCCACTGCGCCTTCATAGGTGAGGGGATGGAACAGGTTGTCTGCTTCCTCTGCTGCCTGGTGGGTGGGTTAGTGAGGGAGGGAGGGAGTGAATGAGAGAGTGAGGAGTGAGAGTGAAACAGTTAATCACCACTAGCTGCTAAGTGAGTTGACGTCCACTGCGCCCTCATAGGTGAGGAGATGAAACAGAAGACGCTCACCTTTCTAAGGGGATGCGAGTGAGAGGATACCAGAGAAAGCCACAGCAGATAAAGCAAGGGCATGGCATATGATCTGATGTCCGGGCTACTTTTGAGGCGCCTCAAAACTAAAGCAAGGGCATAGTAGATGAACTGATGACCAAGCTACTTTTGTGGAACCTCAAAACTAAAGCAAGGGCACATAGTATATGATCTGATGACCAGGCTATGGGGGAGTCAATATGAGAGAGCAGGAGCAGCACCTTGCCTCGCTGCTTGTATCCGAAGATCAGGTCGATCCAATGGTGGAGATTCGCCGACACCCACTCGCTTTCCAGAGCCTGCACGTGCTTTACGATGAAATCCTCTGCATCGCTCGCCCTTGGAGAATAGAATGGGTGGAGTATGGTGGTGCGGTAGATAGAGGGGTAGAGAAAGGGGGAGAAGAATAGGGCGTCATTGAAGGATGCAGTTACATAGGATGGAGAGGGCGTGAGAAAACCATCGCAATACGAATGGCAATTGCCAGGTGAGGGAGTGTGCAAAAATAAAGATGCTTGAAGTTTGGAAAAGATGCACACAAAAAACAATGAAGGAAAGGCAGGCAAACACAGTGCGCCACCTCATAACCCACATATAGTGGTCGATTCTTAGTTCCACAACAGGCATCTCCAAGGCACTAACTTAATTGTTAATACAGAATTGAATTACAGTGTTCCATAACTTACTATATCCCTTTTGAGACGGCTTTTGACACGCGCACGTACCAAGGAGGCAACTCCACATCACCGATTGGGACGACAGGTCTTTAGGCGCCTTCTGAGGCGGATTTCGTAGGTGCCCGTGCCTTCGTAAAGGGCATTTATAAGCGCCTAGAATAACATAATTACGTACCACGGAGGCAGCTCCACGTCGCCAATTGGGACTCCGTTCTGGCGCGTGCCTAGATTGAGGTCCGGGCTGAAAGCGGTGGTGTACATGAGAGAGGGTGGGTGAGGGTGCAAAGAGGATACTCAATCAAGAAAACAGGCATTTTGCAGCCATGACATGTCAAGCCATGGCGTGTTATGTAATCATGTTGCAGCAATATTCAGCTACGCAATGCCATGTTATGCCACGTGTGCAAGTGTGAAGAGTAAGATGTGCATTGTGGTGGTGGAGAAAGGGAAGGGTGAGGATGCAAGAAAGGAGAATACACAAGAAGGGATAACACAAGCAAGAAGCACAGGCTCAGGTAGGTTCAGGTAGGCTCTGAAGCTCAGGCAGGCTCAGGTAGGCTCAGGCAGGCTCAGGTAGGCTCAGGTAGGCTCAGGCAGGCTCAGGTAGGCTCAGGTAGGCTCAGGTAGGCTCAGGTAGGCTCAGGTTGGCTCACTCAAGGAAGGCGGAGAAAGTGTGCTGGGAACGAGAAGAAGTGGGGAATGAGCTCCTTGGCATTCCCTTGGCAAGTGTGGGATGAGCTCCTTGACGTTCTTTCAGGCGCCGAAAGAAATACATTGAGAAGGCATTGCACAGGCAGGCAGGCAGGCAGGCCCAGGTTCACTCACGGGAGGCGGAGGAAGTGCGCAGGCAGAGAGAAGAAGTGGGGGATGAGCTCCTTGACGTCAGTGGCGTTAGACAGCACACTCTCCCACGACTCCTGCAGCCCCGTGAACAGCCGGTCCGGTGAGTCAAAGCGCCCGTTCTGAGGAGGAGAGGGGGGGACAGGAAGGGAGGGTATGGGGCGTTGGACAGCACACTCTCCCACGACTCCTGCAGCCCCGTGAACAGCCTGTCTGGTGAGTCAAAGCGGCCGTTCTGATGGGGAAGGGGGGGTGAGGAGAGGGGGTGGTGAGAAGAGAGGGGCTTTTGAAAATTTCTCTCCCACGACTCCTGCAGCCCCGTGAACTAGGGATGAGCAAGGGGCGAACACGAACGTGTTCGCGTTCGCCCATGCACGAACACCCCTGTTCGGCGACCGAACACTGTTCGGTTCGGCAAACACCTTAAGCAAAAACAGGTGTTCGCCGTTCGCCTATGAAGGCGTGTTCGGGCGAACCTCGAACACGTTCGTGTTCGTCTAGGGGCAAATTGCAGCAGCGGCCCGAACACGAACGTGTTCGGGTGAACATCGAACACTGTTCGGCGAACACTTTAAGCCCAAAATTTTAACCTGTTCGGTTCGCCTCGAACGTGTTCGAGGCGAACCAAACAGGTGTTCGTTTTTTTGCTCATCCCTACCGTGAACAGCCGGTCTGGTGAGTCAAAGCGACAGTTCTGATGGGGAGAGAGGGAAAAGGGGGAGTGGAGGAAGGTGGGGGTGTTGGGGTGGTGGAAAGGCAGGGAATTTAGAAATGGAGAGTTGAACAGAGAACATGAAGGTTTTAACCAACTGCAGCAAGTCCGGTTCGTGCCAAAGTTGATAGTTGAGAGTTCACCTTACGGAATAAGTAAGTGTAAGATAGTTGAGTTGGAAGATTGTAAACCAGTTCACTTTTGAGTCGACTAAAAAGTCAACTCGATAGTTGAGCTGGAAAGCTGTAAACGAGGAGTGCAATCAGGTGGTCTGTGACACATGAGCACTTTCTTTTCACAGCTGTAGTTGAGCGGCAGTCTGTGAGACATGAGCACTTTCTTTTCACAGCTGTAGTTGAGCGGTAGTCTGTGAGACATGAGCACTTTCTTTTCACAGCTGTAGTTGAGCGGTAGTCTGTGAGACATGAGCACTTTCTTTTCACAGCTGTAGTTGAGCGGTAGTCTGTGAGACATGAGCACTTTCTTTTCACAGCTGTAGTTGAGCGGTAGTCTGTGAGACATGAGCACTTTCTTTTCACAGCTGTAGTTGAGCGGTAGTCTGTGAGACATGAGCACTTTCTTTTTACAGCTGTAGTTGAGCGGTAGTCTGTGAGACATGAGCACTTTCTTTTTACAGCTGTAGTTGAGCGGTAGTCTGTGAGACATGACCACTTTCTTTACGCAGTTTGCCTGTAGTTTTTGTGAGCGACACACAAGGCGTTTGTGGGAGTGTGGAGGAGTTCACTCACACTGTGTAAGAGTGTGGAAGCGACAGTGTGGAGTTAAGTGCGCGGTGGAGAGAGATAAGGGCGACTCGCCTGTAGCCGCAGCATGTGTGCTGGTGCAGAGCGGACGAGCCAGTAGAGCACATAGCTGCATGCATGCATTGGGGGCACATGTGACACATGTGGGTTGGATTGGGGATACAAGGGTCATGGGACATGCAATGCAGCGGTAGACATGGCATGGCTGGCCGGTGGTTGCATGCAAAAGAAGGTGAAAGCAGAAAGAGCAGGGAGCAACAGAGCAGGGAGCGAAAGACCAGGGAGCAACAGAGCAGGGAGCAAAAGAGCAGGGAGCAACAGAGCAGGGAGCGAAAGAGCAGGGAGCAACAGAGCAGGGAGCAAAAGAGCAGGGAGTGAAACAGCAGGGAGCAACAGAGCAGGGAGCGAAAGAGCGAAACCAGAAAGAGCAGGGAGCGAAAGAGCAGGGAGCAACAGAGCAGGGAGCGAAAGAGCAGGGAGTGAAAGAGCAGGGAGCGAAAGAGCAGGGAGCAACAGAGAAGGGAGCGAAAGAGCAGGGAGAAACAGAGCAGGGAGCAAAAGAGAAGTGAGCGAAAGAGCAGGGAGCAACAGAGCAGGGAGCGAAAGAGCAGGGAGCAACAGAGCAGGGAGCAAAAGAGCAGGGAGTGAAACAGCAGGGAGCAACAGAGCAGGGAGCGAAAGAGCGAAACCAGAAAGAGCAGGGAGCGAAAGAGCAGGGAGCAACAGAGCAGGGAGCGAAAGAGCAGGGAGTGAAAGAGCAGGGAGCGAAAGAGCAGTGAGCAACAGAGCAGGGAGCAAAAGAGAAGTGAGCGAAAGAGCAGGGAGCAAAAGAGAAGTGAGCGAAAGAGCAGGGAGCGAAAGAGAAGTGAGCGAAAGAGCAGGGAGCGAAAGAGAAGTGAGCGAAAGAGCAGGGAGCGAAAGAGCAGGGAGCGAAAGAGCAGGGAGCGAAAGAGCAGGGAGCGAAAGAGCAGGGAGCGAAAGAGAAGTGAGCGAAAGAGCAGGGAGCGAAAGAGAAGTGAGCGAAAGAGCAGGGAGCGAAAGAGAAGTGAGCGAAAGAGCAGGGAGCGAAAGAGAAGTGAGCGAAAGAGCAGGGAGCGAAAGAGAAGTGAGCGAAAGAGCAGGGAGCGAAAGAGAAGTGAGCGAAAGAGCAGGGAGCGAAAGAGAAGTGAGCGAAAGAGCAGGGAGCGAAAGAGCAGGGAGCGAAAGAGCAGGGAGCGAAAGAGCAGGGAGCGAAAGAGCAGGGAGCAAAAGAGCAGGGAGCGAAAGAGAAGTGAGCGAAAGAGCAGGGAGCGAAAGAGAAGTGAGCGAAAGAGCAGGGAGCGAAAGAGAAGTGAGCGAAAGAGCAGGGAGCGAAAGAGCAGGGAGCGAAAGAGCAGGGAGCGAAAGAGCAGGGAGCGAAAGAGCAGGGAGCGAAAGAGAAGTGAGCGAAAGAGCAGGGAGCGAAAGAGCAGGGAGCGAAAGAGCAGGGAGCGAAAGAGAAGTGAGCGAAAGAGCAGGGAGCGAAAGAGAAGTGAGCGAAAGAGCAGGGAGCGAAAGAGAAGTGAGCGAAAGAGCAGGGAGCGAAAGAGAAGTGAGCGAAAGAGCAGGGAGCGAAAGAGAAGTGAGCGAAAGAGCAGGGAGCGAAAGAGCAGGGAGCGAAAGAGCAGGGAGCGAAAGAGCAGGGAGCGAAAGAGCAGGGAGCGAAAGAGAAGTGAGCGAAAGAGCAGGGAGCGAAAGAGAAGTGAGCGAAAGAGCAGGGAGCGAAAGAGAAGTGAGCGAAAGAGCAGGGAGCGAAAGAGAAGTGAGCGAAAGAGCAGGGAGCGAAAGAGCAGGGAGCGAAAGAGCAGGGAGCGAAAGAGAAGTGAGCGAAAGAGCAGGGAGCGAAAGAGAAGTGAGCGAAAGAGCAGGGAGCGAAAGAGCAGGGAGCGAAAGAGCAGGGAGCGAAAGAGCAGGGAGCGAAAGAGCAGGGAGCGAAAGAGCAGGGAGCGAAAGAGAAGTGAGCGAAAGAGCAGGGAGCGAAAGAGAAGTGAGCGAAAGAGCAGGGAGCGAAAGAGAAGTGAGCGAAAGAGCAGGGAGCGAAAGAGCAGGGAGCGAAAGAGCAGGGAGCGAAAGAGCAGGGAGCGAAAGAGCAGGGAGCGAAAGAGAAGTGAGCGAAAGAGCAGGGAGCGAAAGAGAAGTGAGCGAAAGAGCAGGGAGCGAAAGAGCAGGGAGCGAAAGAGCAGGGAGCGAAAGAGAAGTGAGCGAAAGAGCAGGGAGCGAAAGAGAAGTGAGCGAAAGAGCAGGGAGCGAAAGAGAAGTGAGCGAAAGAGCAGGGAGCGAAAGAGAAGTGAGCGAAAGAGCAGGGAGCGAAAGAGAAGTGAGCGAAAGAGCAGGGAGCGAAAGAGAAGTGAGCGAAAGAGCAGGGAGCGAAAGAGAAGTGAGCGAAAGAGCAGGGAGCGAAAGAGCAGGGAGCGAAAGAGCAGGGAGCGAAAGAGAAGTGAGCGAAAGAGCAGGGAGCGAAAGAGAAGTGAGCGAAAGAGCAGGGAGCGAAAGAGAAGTGAGCGAAAGAGCAGGGAGCGAAAGAGAAGTGAGCGAAAGAGCAGGGAGCGAAAGAGAAGTGAGCGAAAGAGCAGGGAGCGAAAGAGAAGTGAGCGAAAGAGCAGGAGCGAAAGAGAAGTGAGCGAAAGAGCAGGGAGCGAAAGAGCAGGGAGCGAAAGAGCAGGGAGCGAAAGAGCAGGGAGCGAAAGAGCAGGGAGCTAAAGAGAAGTGAGCGAAAGAGCAGGGAGCGAAAGAGAAGTGAGCGAAAGAGCAGGGAGCGAAAGAGAAGTGAGCGAAAGAGCAGGGAGCGAAAGAGAAGTGAGCGAAAGAGCAGGGAGCGAAAGAGCAGGGAGCGAAAGAGCAGGGAGCGAAAGAGAAGTGAGCGAAAGAGCAGGGAGCGAAAGAGAAGTGAGCGAAAGAGCAGGGAGCGAAAGAGAAGTGAGCGAAAGAGCAGGGAGCGAAAGAGAAGTGAGCGAAAGAGCAGGGAGCGAAAGAGAAGTGAGCGAAAGAGCAGGGAGCGAAAGAGAAGTGAGCGAAAGAGCAGGGAGCGAAAGAGAAGTGAGCGAAAGAGCAGGGAGCGAAAGAGAAGTGAGCGAAAGAGCAGGGAGCGAAAGAGAAGTGAGCGAAAGAGCAGGGAGCGAAAGAGAAGTGAGCGAAAGAGCAGGGAGCGAAAGAGCAGGGAGCGAAAGAGCAGGGAGCGAAAGAGAAGTGAGCGAAAGAGCAGGGAGCGAAAGAGAAGTGAGCGAAAGAGCAGGGAGCGAAAGAGAAGTGAGCGAAAGAGCAGGGAGCGAAAGAGAAGTGAGCGAAAGAGCAGGGAGCGAAAGAGAAGTGAGCGAAAGAGCAGGGAGCGAAAGAGAAGTGAGCGAAAGAGCAGGGAGCGAAAGAGAAGTGAGCGAAAGAGCAGGGAGCGAAAGAGCAGGGAGCGAAAGAGCAGGGAGCGAAAGAGCAGGGAGCGAAAGAGCAGGGAGCTAAAGAGAAGTGAGCGAAAGAGCAGGGAGCGAAAGAGAAGTGAGCGAAAGAGCAGGGAGCGAAAGAGAAGTGAGCGAAAGAGCAGGGAGCGAAAGAGAAGTGAGCGAAAGAGCAGGGAGCGAAAGAGAGTGAGCGAAAGAGCAGGGAGCGAAAGAGCAGGGAGCGAAAGAGAAGTGAGCGAAAGAGCAGGGAGCGAAAGAGAAGTGAGCGAAAGAGCAGGGAGCGAAAGAGAAGTGAGCGAAAGAGCAGGGAGCGAAAGAGAAGTGAGCGAAAGAGCAGGGAGCGAAAGAGAAGTGAGCAAAAGAGCAGGGAGCGAAAGAGAAGTGAGCGAAAGAGCAGGGAGCGAAAGAGAAGTGAGCGAAAGAGCAGGGAGCGAAAGAGCAGGGAGCGAAAGAGCAGGGAGCGAAAGAGAAGTGAGCGAAAGAGCAGGGAGCGAAAGAGAAGTGAGCGAAAGAGCAGGGAGCGAAAGAGAAGTGAGCGAAAGAGCAGGGAGCGAAAGAGAAGTGAGCGAAAGAGCAGGGAGCGAAAGAGAAGTGAGCGAAAGAGCAGGGAGCGAAAGAGCAGGGAGCGAAAGAGCAGGGAGCGAAAGAGCAGGGAGCGAAAGAGCAGGGAGCGAAAGAGCAGGGAGCGAAAGAGAAGTGAGCGAAAGAGCAGGGAGCGAAAGAGAAGTGAGCGAAAGAGCAGGGAGCGAAAGAGAAGTGAGCGAAAGAGCAGGGAGCGAAAGAGAAGTGAGCGAAAGAGCAGGGAGCGAAAGAGAAGTGAGCGAAAGAGCAGGGAGCGAAAGAGCAGGGAGCGAAAGAGCAGGGAGCGAAAGAGCAGGAGCGAAAGAGCAGGGAGCGAAAGAGAAGTGAGCGAAAGAGCAGGGAGCGAAAGAGAAGTGAGCGAAAGAGCAGGGAGCGAAAGAGAAGTGAGCGAAAGAGCAGGGAGCGAAAGAGAAGTGAGCGAAAGAGCAGGGAGCGAAAGAGAAGTGAGCGAAAGAGCAGGGAGCGAAAGAGAAGTGAGCGAAAGAGCAGGGAGCGAAAAGAGCAGGGAGCGAAAGAGCAGGGAGCGAAAGAGAAGTGAGCGAAAGAGCAGGGAGCGAAAGAGAAGTGAGCGAAAGAGCAGGGAGCGAAAGAGAAGTGAGCGAAAGAGCAGGGAGCGAAAGAGAAGTGAGCGAAAGAGCAGGGAGCGAAAGAGAAGTGAGCGAAAGAGCAGGGAGCGAAAGAGAAGTGAGCGAAAGAGCAGGGAGCGAAAGAGAAGTGAGCGAAAGAGCAGGGAGCGAAAGAGCAGGGAGCGAAAGAGCAGGGAGCGAAAGAGCAGGGAGCGAAAGAGCAGGGAGCGAAAGAGAAGTGAGCGAAAGAGCAGGGAGCGAAAGAGAAGTGAGCGAAAGAGCAGGGAGCGAAAGAGAAGTGAGCGAAAGAGCAGGGAGCGAAAGAGAAGTGAGCGAAAGAGCAGGGAGCGAAAGAGCAGGGAGCGAAAGAGCAGGGAGCGAAAGAGAAGTGAGCGAAAGAGCAGGGAGCGAAAGAGAAGTGAGCGAAAGAGCAGGGAGCGAAAGAGAAGTGAGCGAAAGAGCAGGGAGCGAAAGAGAAGTGAGCGAAAGAGCAGGGAGCGAAAGAGAAGTGAGCGAAAAGAGCAGGGAGCGAAAGAGAAGTGAGCGAAAGAGCAGGGAGCGAAAGAGAAGTGAGCGAAAGAGCAGGGAGCGAAAGAGCAGGGAGCGAAGAGCAGGGAGCGAAAGAGAAGTGAGCGAAAGAGCAGGGAGCGAAGAGAAGTGAGCGAAAGAGCAGGGAGCGAAAGAGAAGTGAGCGAAAGAGCAGGGAGCGAAAGAGAAGTGAGCGAAAGAGCAGGGAGCGAAAGAGAAGTGAGCGAAAGAGCAGGGAGCGAAAGAGCAGGGAGCGAAAGAGCAGGAGCGAAAGAGCAGGGAGCGAAAGAGCAGGGAGCGAAAGAGCAGGGAGCGAAAGAGAAGTGAGCGAAAGAGCAGGGAGCGAAAGAGAAGTGAGCGAAAGAGCAGGGAGCGAAAGAGAAGTGAGCGAAAGAGCAGGGAGCGAAAGAGAAGTGAGCGAAAGAGCAGGGAGCGAAAGAGAAGTGAGCGAAAGAGCAGGGAGCGAAAGAGAAGGGAGCGAAAGAGCAGGGAGCGAAAGAGCAGGGAGCGAAAGAGCAGGGAGCGAAAGAGAAGTGAGCGAAAGAGCAGGGAGCGAAAGAGAAGTGAGCGAAAGAGCAGGGAGCGAAAGAGAAGTGAGCGAAAGAGCAGGGAGCGAAAGAGAAGTGAGCGAAAGAGCAGGGAGCGAAAGAGAAGTGAGCGAAAGAGCAGGGAGCGAAAGAGAAGTGAGCGAAAGAGCAGGGAGCGAAAGAGAAGTGAGCGAAAGAGCAGGGAGCGAAAGAGAAGTGAGCGAAAGAGCAGGGAGCGAAAGAGAAGTGAGCGAAAGAGCAGGGAGCGAAAGAGCAGGGAGCGAAAGAGCAGGGAGCGAAAGAGCAGGGAGCGAAAGAGCAGGGAGCGAAAGAGCAGGGAGCGAAAGAGCAGGGAGCGAAAGAGCAGGGAGCGAAAGAGAAGTGAGCGAAAGAGCAGGGAGCGAAAGAGAAGTGAGCGAAAGAGCAGGGAGCGAAAGAGAAGTGAGCGAAAGAGCAGGGAGCGAAAGAGAAGTGAGCGAAAGAGCAGGGAGCGAAGAGAAGTGAGCGAAAGAGCAGGGAGCGAAAGAGAAGTGAGCGAAAGAGCAGGGAGCGAAAGAGAAGTGAGCGAAAGAGCAGGGAGCGAAAGAGAAGTGAGCGAAAGAGCAGGGAGCGAAAGAGAAGTGAGCGAAAGAGCAGGGAGCGAAAGAGCAGGGAGCGAAAGAGCAGGGAGCGAAAGAGAAGTGAGCGAAAGAGCAGGGAGCGAAAGAGAAGTGAGCGAAAGAGCAGGGAGCGAAAGAGAAGTGAGCGAAAGAGCAGGGAGCGAAAGAGAAGTGAGCGAAAGAGCAGGGAGCGAAAGAGAAGTGAGCGAAAGAGCAGGGAGCGAAAGAGAAGTGAGCGAAAGAGCAGGGAGCGAAAGAGAAGTGAGCGAAAGAGCAGGAGCGAAAGAGCAGGGAGCGAAAGAGCAGGGAGCGAAAGAGAAGTGAGCGAAAGAGCAGGGAGCGAAAGAGAAGTGAGCGAAAGAGCAGGGAGCGAAAGAGAAGTGAGCGAAAGAGCAGGGAGCGAAAGAGAAGTGAGCGAAAGAGCAGGGAGCGAAAGAGAAGTGAGCGAAAGAGCAGGGAGCGAAAGAGAAGTGAGCGAAAGAGCAGGGAGCGAAAGAGAAGTGAGCGAAAGAGCAGGGAGCGAAAGAGCAGGGAGCGAAAGAGCAGGGAGCGAAAGAGCAGGGAGCGAAAGAGCAGGGAGCGAAAGAGAAGTGAGCGAAAGAGCAGGGAGCGAAAGAGAAGTGAGCGAAAGAGCAGGGAGCGAAAGAGAAGTGAGCGAAAGAGCAGGGAGCGAAAGAGAAGTGAGCGAAAGAGCAGGGAGCGAAAGAGCAGGGAGCGAAAGAGCAGGGAGCGAAAGAGAAGTGAGCGAAAGAGCAGGGAGCGAAAGAGAAGTGAGCGAAAGAGCAGGGAGCGAAAGAGAAGTGAGCGAAAGAGCAGGGAGCGAAAGAGAAGTGAGCGAAAGAGCAGGGAGCGAAAGAGAAGTGAGCAAAAGAGCAGGGAGCGAAAGAGAAGTGAGCGAAAGAGCAGGGAGCGAAAGAGAAGTGAGCGAAAGAGCAGGGAGCGAAAGAGCAGGGAGCGAAAGAGCAGGGAGCGAAAGAGAAGTGAGCGAAAGAGCAGGGAGCGAAAGAGAAGTGAGCGAAAGAGCAGGGAGCGAAAGAGAAGTGAGCGAAAGAGCAGGGAGCGAAAGAGAAGTGAGCGAAAGAGCAGGGAGCGAAAGAGAAGTGAGCGAAAGAGCAGGGAGCGAAAGAGCAGGGAGCGAAAGAGCAGGGAGCGAAAGAGCAGGGAGCGAAAGAGCAGGGAGCGAAAGAGCAGGGAGCGAAAGAGAAGTGAGCGAAAGAGCAGGGAGCGAAAGAGAAGTGAGCGAAAGAGCAGGGAGCGAAAGAGAAGTGAGCGAAAGAGCAGGGAGCGAAAGAGAAGTGAGCGAAAGAGCAGGGAGCGAAAGAGAAGTGAGCGAAAGAGCAGGGAGCGAAAGAGCAGGGAGCGAAAGAGCAGGGAGCGAAAGAGCAGGGAGCGAAAGAGCAGGGAGCGAAAGAGAAGTGAGCGAAAGAGCAGGGAGCGAAAGAGAAGTGAGCGAAAGAGCAGGGAGCGAAAGAGAAGTGAGCGAAAGAGCAGGGAGCGAAAGAGAAGTGAGCGAAAGAGCAGGGAGCGAAAGAGAAGTGAGCGAAAGAGCAGGGAGCGAAAGAGAAGTGAGCGAAAGAGCAGGGAGCGAAAGAGAAGTGAGCGAAAGAGCAGGGAGCGAAAGAGAAGTGAGCGAAAGAGCAGGGAGCGAAAGAGAAGTGAGCGAAAGAGCAGGGAGCGAAAGAGCAGGGAGCGAAAGAGCAGGGAGCGAAAGAGAAGTGAGCGAAAGAGCAGGGAGCGAAAGAGAAGTGAGCGAAAGAGCAGGGAGCGAAAGAGAAGTGAGCGAAAGAGCAGGGAGCGAAAGAGAAGTGAGCGAAAGAGCAGGGAGCGAAAGAGAAGTGAGCGAAAGAGCAGGGAGCGAAAGAGAAGTGAGCGAAAGAGCAGGGAGCGAAAGAGCAGGGAGCGAAAGAGCAGGGAGCGAAAGAGAAGTGAGCGAAAGAGCAGGGAGCGAAGAGAAGTGAGCGAAAGAGCAGGGAGCGAAAGAGCAGGGAGCGAAAGAGCAGGGAGCGAAAGAGCAGGGAGCGAAAGAGCAGGGAGCGAAAGAGCAGGGAGCGAAAGAGAAGTGAGCGAAAGAGCAGGGAGCGAAAGAGAAGTGAGCGAAAGAGCAGGGAGCGAAAGAGAAGTGAGCGAAAGAGCAGGGAGCGAAAGAGCAGGGAGCGAAAGAGCAGGGAGCGAAAGAGCAGGGAGCGAAAGAGCAGGGAGCGAAAGAGAAGTGAGCGAAAGAGCAGGGAGCGAAAGAGCAGGGAGCGAAAGAGCAG